AATAAATGAAAAAAGAGAAGTAAATTTATGTTGCAGAAGTGAACGGCAGAGTTGGAAAAGGACGTCCAAGGCGAAAGTTTGTCGACCAAATTGGCGATATATTGAAAATGGGTCAAATTATGAGTACCCGTAACCGACGAGCATGTATGCCTAGGTATATGGATGTGGAGGAGGCGTGAGAGGTGTGTCAGGATCGTGCCAAATGGAAGTTTGTACTCTCTGCCTACCCCTCTGGGAGGCAAGTGTGATTGTTTATGTATGTTATGTATTATGTGAATTCAACATCTTACTATTGACGCTCAAAAGCGACGATGGCGAGGGCGCGAATGAAGGATAATCCCAAATTAATGACGAGACTACTTGATGACCATAGATAAAACGATATTTTAAATGTATGTAGGTTTTAACATTAATAATTTGATTTTTACACTTGTATATGAAGTATATTAATCGTATTAATAATAAAGTAACACTAATTCCTCAATGGATGCATGTTTGTACTTTTAATCAATGTTTTAGTTCAATTAGCAATATCTTCTTGTAAATTGTAGAAGATTAAATTACCCCATCACTAGTGTCGCTTCAAAGCGACAATCGCGTCTGGCATACGTATATTTTGAAATCTTACTTCGCCTCAAACTAGTTTAGATTTGGAATGAATAATACCAAGATCAAGCTTAACTTTGGTTCAATTTAATTGACATACGGAGATGACAAAATTTAAAAAAAATCAAGATTATAAAGTAGCACATATATTTGTAGCCTAAACTCGCCGTTAGCGTTCTAGCAGCCAATTGCGTGTGTCGCTTGTAATCGTCGTTGGCGTTCAAAGGGTTAATGTACTATACAGTAGTGGCTCTCATCCGGGGGTCCGAAGACCAATGATGGTCGCTGAAGGCACCTGAAGTGGTCCGTTAAGGCATTACACCATTCTCTCACACATAAAAAAGTCGAAAACTCACGATGCAGTTTATATAATATACAAATTGTTGCTACATTCAAAATGGGGTAATTTACAATAATGGCACACATCAAGTTTTGTATGTGTTTTATAGAATAATTTAAAAATCAACCTTACTATAATTTATATGTGTCTAATAGTTGATCTGTAGCAAGACAAAAACGGTCAAATGATCTCTCATGACTAAAAGGTTAAGAATTAAGAACCGATGCTATACAGGGATGATGCTGTGAGGCGAAAACGGTTGATATGATAAGTATATTAATGGTTTGAGGCAAGAGTTGTGAAACTAGTATAAGTGTGTGTGTGTGTGTGTGTGTGTGTGTATTGTGAAACTATTACTATTGTGCGTATAGTTCTATATCATTGTTTGTAGACATAATTACTTATTGTACGCTAAAATTTGATAATTCGTCATGGAGGGTATGGCCCGCCGGTTTTATAGCTTCACCGCCTTAAAAAATTATTTGTAATCTTCATTAAAACTAATAACTTATTATCAAAACTCGCTTAAACATATAACACATCTCTGGCGCCATTATTCTTTAGTCATTTTAAAACTTGCCAAAATTTGTAAAAATGGTTAAATGAAAACTTAAGAACGAGATTTTAAAGCTATTTTCGAAATTTTGCACGCTTCATCAAGTCTAAAAAATTTAAAAAAAAAACCTTACAAAACATAATTAAAATAATACCAAGCAATTAAATTACAAAATAAAATAAGTTACCAAACTTGTACTCGTGTTCATTACATGTACCAACATAATTATAGAAATTAAAATAATATATAATTACAAGTTAAAAATGAAAGAGGTGAAATGGACCAGTTTTGTGGAATTTTCTTGCTTCAACATTGGCTGGCTAGTGTATAGCCTCAAAGTTGCTTTACGTTTATGAACTCGATCGTTAAAGCAATAATGCAGGATATACTCTGCAAGGTGTTACACAATAACACTGCAATAAAAGTATTTTCGCCAATATTGCTTAGTAGTTCTCAGAAAAATTCAATGTTTGTAGCAATGTATTAACGTCCTTTAATAATTGTCAGAGTGAAACAAAACAATAATACGACGCGCGCACGATAAGAACACTGTCGTCAAATGCACATTGTGTAGGACGTGCAAAAAATATTGTATATTTAACTAACTTAACTTAACTATATCATTAATTAATTTTAGACAGCATTTGTTGTATTTTCTTTAACAGTTTAGTTTTATTTATTATTATAAAAAACAGCGGAGTGAAATTGTCAGTTCCGATCCCATTTGCATCCTGCACGCGTAGTATAATCATAGTACAATACCTAGGATATAGGGGGATGAAGATTGGACTAGTGTTCGGACCATCATACACCGAAACACCTAACATGTGAAGATTTTACATTTTGCGGTCACTGTGTAAAATAATTTGTCAAGGAAGGATCGAAGTCAAATTACAATGTACAAAGATTTCATTGTGAGCTTATTTTTTTATAGATAGAGGCACCATTCTGAAGAGCACCGTTTTACATAATTGGAATATTTAAAAAAATATAAAAGTTATCAGATCAGGTTGCAACTTTAATGGAACCAATGTGAAAGTATTTTCCATAGAAAACAAATCATCTAAATCTTACCTTGAAGATGTTATACAATATTTTTAATTGTATTAGAAATCCTTCCTTTTAAAAATTGCTTAAAAATACAAATACAATAGAAATGCTAAAATCTACTAAAACAAAATGGTTCGATTCAAATTTTATGATATTATCTTTATCTTATACGGTCAATGTGACAAAATCGGCCAAAACTAATAGAGGCAAGTGCATTTTTGAAATTACACTATTTCTGTCAACTGTCTGTCAGAAACATGTTTACGACTATATAGGCTAGATTATTTGAAATCCCTATTTGAAGGGGGCTGCAGAATAATGTCACTTAATATCATGTTAGTTTGCGTTAATGCTTGCCAGCCTTAATTTATTCAAAATCAGAGGATAAATAAAACTGAATAGAATTGAATTACTACTAGTTTTGCTGAGAAAGTTCAGCAAGAAACAATTTTCGTTCAAAACGTGGACATAACAATAACAAATATAATCGTCTATAATTTGTTTTCACATTCTGTATTACAATGAAGTTCAAACAATGAGGTATACAAAAATTCTGAATGTATTTTTACTGATGATTAGTACTGGGTATGAAATGGCTACATCATAAATCTCAACAGCGGTCAATATGAATATAGAAACTTCTCTAATATTAAATTTCGTACTTTACTTTTGCGAGCAAATGCTATTACTATGTATAAACTTTCACTAGTAGCGTCGTTTCTGAAACCCCTCCATTATCCAACCCCCATTGTCATTAATAAGATATGTAATGTGGATGTCATTCTTCTAACGCATTACAACATTCTTAAGCTATTAAGTAACTATCACGTATAACTTAAGGTCTAAATTCGAGAATGCAGCGTTTTTGCAATAATTGGTGTCCATGATGCTCCTGCAAAAAATTAAAGATTAGTTAATAGTAATGATTTCTTATATTTACGCGAACACTATACATGATTAAAACTACTTTTACGGATTTTATCGCGTTTATTTTTACTTTTTATTTACTTTTATTTTTAATTCCCGACGTTTCGGGCGCTTTCCAGCACCCATGGTCACGGGGGACTGCTTTAATCATGTAGTTAATAGTAGTTATTCAATTGAGTTTTATTTAAACTCTAAAGAATAATGATCATGGTCAAAAAAACACTATCATATAATTAATCAATAATTTACTTGCATATAGGGTATGTTATTCTCTCCCAGTAAACAAAAGAGCGACATTCAATAAGTATTATTTATAATCTATATTGAATAAAAAAGTATCTGTTTCTGATTTTGAGAAAATTAGGTTTGGCAAGTATTTACGCAAACTAATATAATATACCATGGAGAAAAAGAAATATTGAAAGAAGTATAGCGATTTCAATGAGGGCTATCAATCATCCGCTCACCAGGTGCCACTAGTTATTATTATTCTTTTAAATATTGTTAAGTTTATACGTGGTGGAGCCACGCTGCAGCTATATTATGGTTGTAGCATGTATGGGTCGGCTCGACCGGGGGAGGACCACGCTGTCACAGAATACCAGCGTAAAATAGCAGCTTAATACTGTTGTGTTTCGTATGATGAGATCCTGAGACCCCAGCATCTTAGTCCTCAGGGGTGACAACGCATCTGCGTTTTGATTCTTAATCGAGGATAAATGTAGATGATGATCTATAGGCCACAGCAACCACTTACCATCAGTTGGACTGTGTGCTCGTTTATCACCTTTATTCTATTTTAATAAATAAGGTTATTTTAAATAAAAGTAAATAATTTTCTAGAGTATTATAATAATACACAAAACAATGCCATTTAACCTTTAATATTTTGCAAATTATTAAGTTTTTTTTTTTTAAATCTTTTCAATTATATCTATAGTTTGGTTTATTATTTTCTAAGCTAATTAATATAAAATTTTACTTATATTTGAGAACAAAATAATAACAACCATTACATTTTCTTAACAAATTAACTTCCCATTATGAAATGAGTCAAATATTTCACCACATTCCATAGTGGCACCACTCTGGTGCCAGACAAAGTTGTGGAGCCCTTATTAGTCCCATTCTAAATAGTGCTGATATTCATGAACATTCTCGAATTTAAATTCAAACTTTGCAACATCAAAATTAAGTCAGGACCAAATAATTAGGTCTAGTTTCAAATTTTAGTACGCCCAAGTGTCATTATTGAATAAATAAAATGTGATAAAATTCATAAATTGTTTTCATTTTAAGATGTAATAATTTATTAATCATGGTGTCATTCTACCCAATCAATGTGTTTGGTAGCATTTTTACGCTTCAAATTGGTTCACTTCTGAGATTTATGGCACAAAAGATAAAGGGGTAAAATATTCTACATAGGAATAAAAGTAATGAATAGGAGTACATAGAAATAAAACACTATATGTATCACCTCATCATGCGATATAGTTGGCGCGTTGTCCGCTCGTAGCGTTACCGGCGTCGACTGCGTGCCGCTGGTTTTTGAACATCTGAAACAACATTAACATTTGCTACTAAAACGTTTGTGTTAACTATTACACACATAATATTTAACGACCACTAACCTACAACTGCCTCTTTGGTTTAATGGTCGCAAACGCGGTTACTGGTCATGGTTCGAATCCCGGGGTCAGACCAAACTAAGTTATTGGGTTTTCTGCCAAGAGCTTCTCAGTAGCAGCCCGGCGTCAGAAAGTAAGCGTGCCTCGGAGAGCACGTGACGTCTTCTTGTGTTTACGCGAACAATACACGTTCGAATGAAACTAGTTGTTAAGGATTTTATAACATATATTTTTTATATTCTCATTGGTCGATCCTCACCTCAGTTCAACCATAAACGTGGGTGCTGGAAAAGTCGGGAACATAAGTCACTGCGTTAAAATCAGTAAAAAACTAACTAAAGGTACTATGGTGACTAAGTAGGTAAAAACTAACATCCTTGAAATGCGAAGCGTCCGCATTAACATTGAAAAGCCTCAATAAGATCGAAATGTTTAGTTCTGAAGTGTAAAAAGTTGATTGTTCCAAATAGAGAACCAGGGCTTCCTAGCAAATGTTCACCGTTTTTGTTTCCAAGGCTCAGGCTTAAAAAATATAATCTTGTATCGATTTTAATGAAGACTTAACCAAAAATGTAATAAACAACTAAGTGGAGAACAAAATCTTCAGTTCTTGTAGAGATATGGGGAGATGATGAACGGTCACTAACTTACAAATTGTACAAGTGGATTTGTTTTTTACTCCACAATTCTGTAACATAAATCAATTCAATAAACTGATGGTACTTAAAATAGGAATTCCTCAAAATAAAGGGTATGTTCCGATATACACTGATTTTGAAGAAAATTATCCCCATTTTTAACTTTTACACAAGATTTGTGTTTTTATGCGCACACAACATACACGTATACTACACAATTACACAACTAACACCCACAGATATTTTATATTTTATTTTAAGTTTTAATATTAGTTTTACTATAAGTCAAAAATCTGTGTGTTATCCTAGTTTTAAACACTGATTTATACAATTGAAAGACTGGAAAAGCGGAGCTTCCTAACACAAGTTTCCGAACTTAAAAGGAGTGTTCCAACTTCCAACAATGTATTTAATTTTAAGCATTACTGGAGCGAAAATAAATATTTTTAATTTTTGATTGATTTTAATGTTGTTGATTAGTTTGGTTTAGTTTACGACGGGTTGTTTTTCGCAACTCCGCGTCTAAGCGCGTATTTTGCGTGTCAGCAGGAATAATGTGATTATTCGAGCCATGAAATCTCCCCGAAGTTTCACAGTCCTTTGACGTTGCAAGCAACTTCGGGGAGCAATCCCAGCGTGCCGAGATGTTTAGCCCTGTTTGAAGAAACCTCCGGACATGTCAGCAACACGTGGGCCGCCGTTTCTTCCTCCCCATACAAGCCCTGCACAGGGGGCTATCTGTAACACCTATGGTAAATAAATGTTAAAGGAGCCATGTCTTGTTACTATCCCGATCTGTGGATTGTTCAGTCTCATTAGAACCCTCGCTTATTTATTTCAGGCAGAGCATCTCCTAGCTTCTCTACAATCTACCAGATGTTTCCAAAGCTGAGCGTGTAGAATAGTGAAGTTACGATTACGTAGAACGTATCAGTAAAAAAATGTTACCAAAGGGGATTGGTATTATCGGTTCTGGCCCTATAGTGGCCAGAGCCAATCCCCTTTTGGCCAGTTCATCTGCTGCACCGTTGCCTCTGGATCGACTGTCTCTTAATCCACTGCAGTCACATTGTTGTGCTTACATACCTTATTTAATTGTTGATTGCATTCATATATTAGTCCCGACTTCACCACATTACAACTCAGGGCTTGTAGTACCGACATACTGTTAGTCAGTATTCTGATGGAGAAGTCTTTTGGCTGCCTAGCATCTATTGCCATGGCCGCTTGGATAATACCCATACATTCTGCCTGAAAGATTGCTTTATGGGTATCCAGCAATGAACATATGTGAATATTAAGGTCTTATACAACGCGTAACATAATTAACGCACTTTGAGAAAGTAGTTTGTTCAGAATCGTTTACTGAATCGATTCATTTTAATATAGGTAATTTTTTATCCCAAAAATAATTAATTAAAACTACGTAAATTACAATCACACTAAATTTGTACAGTCAAAACACACTGAAATGGACCGTAACTTAAGGCAATAAGATTTTTAAGAGTGCAATTTCATTTGTATAATTACTAACTCTCTCATTCAATAAAAATAAAGAAAAATGAACTTTATTTCAAGCACGTTAAAGTCTTTACATTCGTGGATTTGTACTGTGACCACAACATTCTTCCGGAATTAGTATAACTAATTTGATAAATAATCAGTGCATAAAAATGTTTAACTAAAAATTCTGTGTAGTATGTATTATGATTATAACATAATATACTAATTGGGGTGTCTGAGGTTGTGCGTTAATTACGTTACATATTGTATACTTCTTATCAAATACAAATTATTTTGAGATCTTATCGTACTTGGCTTGTAAAATAGAAATTTTTGAGTAAATTCTATCAATTATACCTGTATGAGGGACTCTACTCTTACCCAAAAGATTTTGGGTCTTGAGTCTAATGGCAGCTAAAGTAGCTTCTTGTTGAGCAGGGTTAGCTCCAGTATAGCCTCTAAAGCTGCTGTTGGTGTAGTTCTTATGCAGCCTGTGGCAGCCATGCATGCCAGTCTTGCTGAATGTTCTTTACAGTGGTGGCTTCATTAGTTTTTTTTTAATTATTAGTTTTAGTTCACCATACCAGAGTGCCGTATGTGGATCATGAACCGAATTACAGTTTTGTTACAGCCACAGTATAATTTTTGACATCAAACCCCATTGTTTGCACATTATTAGTACATAAGTTTAATCCAGTTGAGTTTAGTGTCCAAGGTAAGACCTAAGTATTTTACCTCAGAGGATAGCTGGAATTTTGTGCTAAAAAGACTTGGGAGATGATAGTTATTCAGCATTCGTTTTTGTGTGAACATTGCGGTCCTACGTTTTATTTGGATTAACGGTTAGGTCATATTTCCTGCACCATCTCTCCACTATACGGAGACCCGCTTGGGTCAGGTCGCACACGATGCTTGCTGTCTTTCCAGATACCAGTATTGTCAGGTCATCTGCATAACCTACTGTGAAGAAATGATTGGCATTTAATTTGCTGATGAGTTCATTAACAACCATATTAGCGCCCCTACGCACTGGCGACTATGGTCGCCGCGACCTGGCCGCGGCGGCCAGTGAATTCTGGACTTTATTGGCCATCGCTATAGCCCCTACGCACTTAGCGGCCAGCGACCAGCGGCCACCGTTGGCCGCGGCGTCTAATTTGATGCCACGCGACCAGCGACCAATCGTGGCCGTCGAGAACATCACTTCTGTATTAAAATTCATCAGTGCTACCGCATCGGCCGCGGCGACCAGACGTGTATAGCTACAGAGTGATTATTTTACAATGGCCAATAATTTCGACACGGAAAGGTTCATAATTGAAGTTGAAAATAGAAGAGGTTTATGGGATTTATCATCAAATGATTACTCCAATAAAGATGTTAAGCGGCAGTTGTGGCTTGAACTGATCAATATATTTGGCGGTGAATCCATGGAAGATAAAGAAAAGGCAGAACTTGGTTAGTCTTTTATTTTATTATGCCCTAAATTAATAATGCGATGAACTACAATAAACGCAGCGGGTGCTGTAGTAGCGTTCGACACGTATATGTAACATGAGTGATTTTTTTAAAAAGTTGTTCCGTTCATTTAAAATCTAAGAAATTTTAGCAAATAGGTAATTGTCAAAAGTGTAACTATTTTATTTCTACTATTTTTCGCTTTGCAAATGAGTTTTGACAATTATTTGATAAATTTACCAGGTTTTCGTAATGATTGGAATAACTTTTTAAAAAGATTACTCATACCGTATGTGCGTTCGACGCCATTTTGTTTACGGCGCGCAATCGCGGCTCGTGGCGAGCAAGTGCCTCAACGCACAAACTGAGCAGCCGTCGTAGGTACGCACCCATATATTTACAAATTGTGCCAGGGCAAGCGACCATCGGTACTGAAGTAGTTTGCGAATATATCTCGATATTCGGTTGATGTTCTATTTGCTCTATTAGGTAAACTTGCAGGTATTTCTAATAAAGCCTCTGGTACAGTCAACGTGTCCTTGAAATCATATCCGTCTCTTTCTCGCACATAATTATGAAGCACACATAGAGCTTTTATAATCACAACTGCAAATTCTTTCTTGACGTTTAGAGGTCGGTGAAGAATCTGCCATTTATTGGCTAATATTCCAAATGTACATTCAATATAGCGGCGGGCACGGGATAGTCGATAATTAAAATTAGTCTTTACATTATTCAAGTTTCTCCCAGCATACGGTCGCATCATATGTTCCGATAGTGAAAACGCCTCATCACCCACTAAAATGAACGGCATTGGTTGGCTATTTTCTTTGATGGGGTTATTGCTCGGAATATCGAGATCATTATTTAAAAGCCTATGATAAAATACAGAGTCTTTGTAAATTGACGAATCACTGCATTTGCCGTATGTTCCAATGTCTACGTAAAGAAATTTATAATTTGCATCACATATTGCAAGTAACACGATTGAAAAATAATTCTTGTAATTGTAATAAAGAGATCCCGAATGTTGTGGTTTGATAACTCTAATGTGCTTGCCGTCGATGGCTCCGATGCAATTAGGAAATTGGGCGTATTTTTTAAAACCTTCAGCCGTTTGAATCCACTTATCTCTGGTCAATTGTGGCATCACAATTGGTTTTAATATCTCCCATATTGCTTCACAAACATCAAATACTATTTCCGATGCTGTAGGAAGCCCTATACGGTATTCATGACTTATATGAGATAAAGAACATCCAGTAGCCAAATACCTGAAAATAAAATTCACATTAATAAACATAATATTAGTTTTGTAATATGTACTACATTTATTTATTGATTTACAGGCATGACTCTCCAAAAAAGATGGAAAAACCTTAGAGACTGTTTCACAAGAGAGCTGCGCCGTCTTAAAGATGTCAAAAGTGGTTCTGCTGCAAAACGTAAAAATCAATACACCTATTTCAACCAATTACTGTTTTTGAGATCAGTGCTGGACACAAACGCAACAGAAAATAGTCTTGAAGAGGAGGCAAGTCAAGAAAATGAAAGTGCAAGATCTTCTGATTTTGAGACTCAACAGTCTGCATCAAAGTCGCTTAGAACAAAAAGGAAGAAAAAATACCAAACGAAGAATCCGATACAGACCCTTTAATTTCAGTTCTGCATAAGACCATAGCGACAATAGAGAAGACAGATACACAGAATGATTCAAATTGTGACAGACTGTTTCTTTTATCCCTCCTCGACAGATTTCAAAATATCCCTGCTGTAATGAAGACCAAAGCGAAAATGGAAATCATGGAAATTATAGAAAAATATCAACCGAACTATGAACCAACAGCGCATAAACTATTCAAGAAATTTCAATACTCTTTACGACCAAGAATATGACCCGCATCGACCGAATTATTCAGGTTATTCTACTACCAACAGAATATCAAATGATTCAAATTACAGCGATACTCATACTCATTATTCTGATATTTCCCAAAATTCAGAAATGATAGACCTATTTCCCAATTTGAATGATTAATTGTTCACAACTTCCATTTTTTAAGTTACGAGAATACAAATAATTTGATTATCTACTTCAGTTTTTTATTATTTAAAAACATAGTTATAAGCAAGCCCTTTTCCTCTCCTTTTCAAAGTCGTAAAGTAGTATTGTTCATACATTATTTAAAGTGGCAAAACCATGGTCAATGAATTATACAGGTTGTTGTGAAAAACACAATAGTGGTGATTCAGAATCGAGTCTTGTATAATTCAAATTTACAAAAAAATCCATTAAGCAGTTTAAGTAAAAAAGGCCCTATCACATTATTTTTATTTTCCCTGTACACAATACTCCATTCCGAAACAACCTTTAAAATAAATCACGTATTTTTTAAACATTCTGTTTTTAAAAAAAGAAAAAGCTTACCTTATTGTTATCACTAATTTTTCTTCTGCTGTAATGCATTTCCGATAGTTGTTACCAGTTCCAGTAATTTTTGGTTTTATTGTATCCAGTAACAGGTTAAAAGGATTCGTGGACATTCTCATGTAATTAAAGAATCTCTTCTCATACATTTTTAAATCCAAAAAATAAGTATAATATAATCCTTTAGTCTTTCTCTCGCAAAGTAATGGATGCACCCAAAACTGTCTTTTACGTGAAATCTTCCGTTTTCGTTTTCGTAGTAAATACACAAGCACAGTTAGCGTGATTATCTTCTGCACGTCCATCTTGACACACCCTTGGAAGCCGACTGCAATTTTTCAGCCGTGCGCATGTCGCGCTTGCCTACGCACCGGCGACCATGGCCGCGGCGGCCTGGCCGCGTCTATGGTCGCCAGTGCGTAGGCAGTCTTACACAAGAGAGGTGAAAGAACTCCACCCCGCGGGCAGCCTTCCTTGATTTGATTTGTTTTATTAGATTTATCAACACTCTTTATTGTTCGCGTACTGAGCATGTTTATTATCCAGTCAGTCAGCGCCGGTTCAACTTTATGTCTACTTAATGCACCTTTTACAGTAGAAAAGTTTGTTCTGTCAAATGCACCTTTTATGTCTATGAAGGAGACTAGACATATTATTTAGTTTTGAATGGCCTCTTCAATCTTTGTTATTACGTGGCGTAGAGCCGATTCTGTCGATTTACCTAAGCTGTAGGCGCGTTGTTTGTTTGTAGCGTTAAGTAAATTAGTGCCGACCCCCTCAATTCCCTTTCAGAAATCCTCTTCATCATGTTGTTGCTTAAATTTTCTAGTTTATTTGAATAACAATATTAATTAATAATATTCGAGGAAGCTGTTAAATCTCTATGCGCTGTGTTGTTTTTGATCACGTGATCAAAATACTGGGAGCACCTTACTTCGAAAGCGCCAGTGCTCAAAGTACAAAAATGGCGGCGGTTTATGACGTCATATATTTTCTAGAGTACTGCGGCAGTCCACAACGGAACGAATATTTCACCAGTGAGAGCACTGAGCTGTGCTCGCAGTGTATATCGGAACACGGCCAAAAATAAATTTTACAGATTTTATCACATTTAATTTTAAGTTTTTTGATTCTCTTTTTCTCTTCACTTCCCTTCCGCCCTTCCCCCGTGAAAATGGGTGCTGTAAAGTGCTCGAAACGGGAAATAAGGGCTTAAATATACATATAGGTGTGGCATTCATGACAGTAAAACTTTTTTTTGGACGTTATAGAAGGAATTGTAATGTTCACAATAGGTAAGTTATTAAATCTTGTGAAAAATGTTATTTACATCTGAACTGACATGCACATTGGTAAAGCACAATTTTGACAATACTCTTACTACTCGGCCAATGCAGATGTAATAAACCCATAAACTATTTGGAAATAAAAATGTATTTAAATTTAATTTGATTTTTATAATCCAATTTTCTGAAGTTATTTCAAATAACTTGATTCTGATAACGCACATAAGTGAACCACATAGTTTTTGTTTCATGTTGTATGAATATTGTAACTCACCTTCAACTTTAGTGCGTCGTGTTCTTGTCTCGCGGGCGGGTGCTTTGGGACTCACCGCGCTAGTCTTACGAGGATTCTTAGCGGGCTTCGCTGGTTCTGTAAGCGTAACTTATAATGTAATTTATACGTCACAGAATCATGCTGGAGAAAAAATGAGTTGACTCGAAAGACCACATATGCTTGTTATTCTGCTGTCCATCTCCTGATTTGTTTCCTTCTGTCGTCTGTTCGTTAACGTCACCCACGGTTTAATATGGTGTCGCAGCGGTGAAAGAAATTCCACTATTTTACCCCATCTTTTAGCATCTTCCTTATAACGACTAAAAAAAACTGCTTGCCAACCTACTTACCAAGCGAGGCACCTATTCCCCTATGAGGAGAGGCCTGTGTTCAGCAGTAGACTTCAATAGGCTGTAATAGTAAGGTTCCTTTAAGTGGAAACTTCTTTAGGCAAGTTCAGCACTTTAGAAATGGGGAAAAGGCACTGAACTCGCGATACCGTCATGCTCAGATACATATATACAAAAATAATGTTTACAAGTATGTGAAGCTAAGTTTTCACTTCTGAAGTGCACGTGACGTGTCCTACGACTGACAGTTTAGATAGTTTAGACTGACAGGTTTTTTTTACAAATTTATGTACGAACTCACAGTTCTCCTGATGGTAAGTGGATGCTGTGGCTCCTAGACATCTACATTTACTGTCGATTAAGTCAAAATGGCGATGCGTTATCACCTCCTCATCAGGGACGATGTAACGGCATTATAATTCTTAATTGAGAATAGATGTACTCGTAGATGTCTTAGAATAGCCGCGAATCATTTTTATTGAATATAGATTACAATTATATTTATTAAAAGTAATTTAAGCTTTACCACTGGTTTGGAAAAAAACCTGTCCTGGTAAGAAACAGCAAATAACCTAGCGTAATTTTTTTAAATATTAATTTACAATATAACAGTTTGTACAATTAAGTATAAAAACATTTAAAAACGGCATAGTAGCGATCACGTCATTCCCAGGTGTTATCAATTACATACTCTTTAGTAGTATAATAACCCTTATTAAACTATTTATAAAAATATTCACTTTTTGATATACAGGTCCCGCATATTTATGAAATGGATCACCCTTACTTCTAAAAGAAATATTACATCCAATACAAGACACAAAAATAATACAGTGGATTTCATTAATAACGACCTTGGTTGTAACGACTTTTCGGTTATAGCGAGGTCAAACTTACGTCCCTTGAATTTAAAGCATACTTTCGTAAGAAATTCATTCGGTTATAGTGACATCGGTTATAGCGACAATTTCGGGTATAGCGACTTGTTTTATGAACCATTTATGACCGATTCCTAGAAATCCCTTGCGGATATTGCGACTGAGTCGGCAAAGGCACAAAGACTCATTCATAAAACTATTAAGCTTTCTTATCCTTTGTTTACATTCACAGATGGTCAAACTAATGCTTTGTTTGTATGTAGGACTACGTAGCATGTTTACGAAGTTAAATTTGTGAATCATTTACATAGAAATTCCAGTGAGTGAACAGTGTTTCTTAAAACTTGTGTATATGGCTCCTAGACGTACATTTACTGTTAAAGAAAAAGTGGACATCATTTCGAGACTGCAAAATGGACAAAACAATGTTGATCTTTGTAAACAATTTAGAGTTTCACATTCTACAATATCAACGATGTGGAAAAACCGCGCTAAAATTATGGAATGTTTTGAATCAAAATCCCTGAAAATAAAGAAAAATCACAAAACACCTGTGTATAAATTAAATAAATGATAAGTAAATAAGTACATGACTTACAAATATTGTATGTACAAGAAACAGGAGAAAATCCTAGCGTGGGGGTCACGTTTTATAAAATAATCCATACAACTAACGAACTACGAAGCAATATGCCAAAACATTAAGAACTTACCTTCGGCAGCAGACACGTCCATGTTATTTTTTCTCTTACGGCCCTTTGGCTGGGGTTTTTCTAATTCCGTCACCTGGTCAAAAAAAAACTTTAAAAAAATGAAGACGCATTTAATTGTTCTGTTTTTAACCAAATTCAAAAAACGGAGGTTCTCAATTCGACTGTATTTCTTTTGTGTGTTGTGTTGATTCTTTTTTATTATTTGAAAGCCGGTGCTTCTCATGTGGTCCCCTATAAATTTGATCAAGATCTGACCAGTAGTGTTTGAGTTATCCTTAAAAATGCGTATTTAATTGAATTCGAATACATTGATGAGGTCCTCATTTTATTTATATTGAAGTTACTTGTAGAAAAAGTTTAATTTTTAATACTTGTTTACATTGGCGTCGGTTGTACAAAGTTGTAATCTGCGAGAGTGCCGTGAAGCAGAGGCGAGCAGTAAGGCTCAGAGCCGTGCCGAACACTGTATAGCGCAGAGAGTAGCTTGAACGAACAGGAAGCATTATTATTCCAGTGCTGTGATGAACCTTGTGAAGCTAGATGGCTTGCAGGAAATGAAGACTGCAGACGATATCTGTTCGGGAGCGAATGGGTGGGGTATTCTATGACGTTGATGAAGCTTGAAGTTTCCGAAGGTTGTTGGTTGCGTGTTCAGATCACGTCACGTCGGGGTCACCACTGTGGCCGAGGAAGGAAAAGGGGAGATCTCCCGCCGGGCAAGGTGTTCTGCCCGGGGAGCGGCTGACACTCCGAGTGATAGTTCGGAGAAGTTCTATATATACTGTCTATGATTCGGAATGTTAATAGCGCGATTTAGGCTTCGGTGTGTTTCGGTGTGCTAGTGGCGCGACGACAGCGCCGCTACATTAATTAAACCAATTGTTTTTTTTAAAGTGAAATTTCTTAATGCCCGTCTTTTATCTTTTTTCTGTGAAATCTATTACGCTTATGCACCTAGATTATATAATAGTCAATTTATATTTGATTCTTTTACATTATAATGTGATTGTTTTGTTTTGACAAAAATGAAAAAAGAAAAAGAATAAGGATGACAAACGAGCACACTGTCCATCTGATGATAAGTGGATGCTGTTGCACAGATTTCTACATTTAACATATTTTAAGAATCAATTTGTCAAATTCTAAAAAGGGTCTGCGGTTCTCTACACTCCCCATACGAAACACAGCAGCGTTATGCTGCTTTTTTATGCTGGTATTCTGTGAGAGCATGGTCCTTCCCGGTCGAGCCGACCCACTCGTGCCACATCCATAATATAGCGGCAACACGGCTCTAACATGTACAAGCCTACTACTGGATGGGACAAAACGGGATGATAAATTCTCTTAGGTTATGTCACCCACCCACACAGCGCCAATAATTCAATTAAACTTACCTTTTTCCTCCTCGTATTTTTGCCTTCAGTATCCTGTCCGGCTTCTTTTTGAGCTTTACTTGTTTTTGTCGTCTCCTGCACTTCCTGAGCGTTTTTCGGCGCATTTTGCCCCGCTCCTCTCTTCGCCCGTCCCTTTCCCACTTTCTTTACCTCTGTGGTTGTCACTGCACTATCATCTACAGACTGCTTCTGGCTCCTCTTTCCACGAGTACTCTTCGGTTCGGCTACCTCGCCGCTTGTGTTAGTAATATTTTTTTTTCTTCCAACTGTTGTTTTTAGTTGACTTACTTCAGGAGGTGCCCCTTCGGTTTTCTTACCGCCTCTAACTCTTTTAGATGCCAAAACTTCATTTTCTATTGTCTTTTGTTTATCAAGTTCTTGTAGATCTTCAGTTTTCTTACCTCGCCTGCCCTTAGTAACAACTACTGGACTTTTTTGCTGTTGTGGTTTCAATATTTCGCTGTTTAGATATATTTTGCCCTCTTCTTCCACGATTTCTTGTACCCGTATCATCTGCCACATTCATTTTTCTTAATTTAGATGGAGTTTCTTCTGCAGTGATCTTCCTTTTGCGTCCTTTACTTGTACTTTCAATAACAGTGGCACTTTGCGAGTTCTGCGCTTTAACCTGTCGTTTCGAAACTGCTTGTGTGGTCTCATGTGTATTTTCTATTGTCTTTTGTTTATTAAGTTCTTGTAGATCTTCAGTTTTCTTACCTCGCCTGCCCTTAGTAACAACTACTGGACTTTTTGCTGTTGTGGTTTCAATATTTTGCTGTTTAGATATATTTTGCCCTCTTCTTCCACGATTTCTTGTACCCGTATCATCTGCCACATCCATTTTTCTTAATTTAGATGGAGTTTCTTCTGCAGTAATCTTCGTTTTGCCTCCTCTACTTGTATTTTCAATAACACTGTTCTGTGCTTTCATCTGTCGTTTCGAAACTGCCTGTGTGGTCTCATATGATGCAGTTTTCTTACCCCGAGTTTGGGTTGTGGCACTGTCAGTTTTAGTTGTTATTCGAGTAGACCTTGTCCGCACTTCTGTAACATTATTCTCAACTGTGACATTAGTTTGAGCAATAGTCTTCCTACCTCGTTTTGGTTTTAGATTAGCTTCCGCTTCCGAAGTGACATTTTTTCCTTTAGGGTCATTTTCAACTACGACATTCTGCCCTTTCTTGGCTACTTTAGCACTTGGCGAAATCAATTTGCCGTTCCTACCCCGTCTTTTAGTTTGACTTTCCTCGCTAATTTCATCTAAATATTCTTGTTTCTTCTGTTTTACTTCAACAGCTTCAGTAGCTTGAGCAATAGTTCTGCGAGTTCTTTGGGAGGTTTTCTCTGGTATTTTCTGGGATTCAGTTTCAATGCCCTGCTTACCAGATCTTGGCTTCATTTGAGGGGAAGGTTTAGTTATAACAACACTTAGTTTTCGTACTTTCGCCCTGGTATTGGCTTTAGGCGTTTGAACTTTGTCTCCAGTAACTTTTTGCCTGCGTGTTCTAGTTTTCGGGGGACTTTCATGCGATAGCTGATCTATAGTGGCATTCTCATTATCCTTTGATAAGTTAGTTTTACGTCCTGATTTTCTTTTTGGTGTTGCTTTATTACTACGTTTTGGACTCTCCACCTCTTGCACGTTCTTTCGTCGGGTTGTTTTAGTAGCAGGTTGCACATTTTCTGTAACCTCTTCAACTAAACCTTGTTTTCGATTAAAATTCCTCTTTCTTGTTACCTGGACGACAGGCTCAGGATTTCCAACTGAAACAGGTTCGTTACGAGATACTTTTGCTGTTGTTTGGTTTTTTAAAACAGGCGGTTTTTTGGAAATAACGACAGACGAGTTGACTTCCAAACTTTCTTTAACCCTTCGTCCTCTCGTAGCTCTCACTTGAACTGGGCTACGCTGGGCCTTTTCTTTGTTCTTAGGTGATAGTTGAATAGCTTTAGATGAAATCTGACTATCAACAACGCCTTGAATGATTTTTGATTTCCTCGTTTGTATTGTTTTTCTTTTAGGGCTTTCTTTAGGAAGTTCAATGGACCTGAAAGTATATAATACTTATTTTATGAAAACTCTAAATAAAATTAAAATATCCTCCTAAGGCCCAAAGTCCTTTTTAAAAGAATAAATAATATGTGTGTTCAGACCCAGCATGAAATATGGTTACTTCTTCATGCAGGGCCAAGTCCTTTAAAAAGGTTCAATTTTAAAATCACGTTTTTCAAATTCAAATGGACCGCCAAATAAATATTTGACATTTAAAACGAACCTGGAAGACCTATTTAATCTGTTACCGGAAGTCGTAATTATTGGTTTAAAAATTGACCTCGTGACACCATTTCTTTTTCGACACGATGGCTGACTTTAGGAGACAGAGTGAGTAAATTTTTCTTTATCCTTGTGATCAGTCATATCAGCACGGTTTCGTATACAAAAATATGTGTGGCTACATGTTTTCCGTAATTATATTACATAATTTTTTCATTTTACTATCGAAAATGATATATTTAATTAAACCAAACTTTTTGATACTTTAAAACCAGTATTATTTTCTTTCATTTTAAAATGCATGAATATCTGTAATATTAAGTTTAAAATGTTTATATATTTTTTTTTTGATGTAAATCTAAGTTGATACGATTACGTAGGAAGAGCGAGACTCTCTCGACACAAGTATCTTATGATTACTTTCAGGGAGGCCTCGGCAAATAGCTGTAAAATGATTTACTGAAATAAAACATTTTTAATTTTTAATTAATTTAACTTTTTTAATTTTAGACCTATACAAAAGTCTTTGGTTTATTATGTTTACTTAAGATGAAGTGCACGTTAAGTTAATGAGTTAAACTAAAATATTTTTTTCGAAAATTTATTTAGGTAGGTACCAAATATTATTGTTGTTTCTAGTCTATATTTAATTAACAAAAAAAAATACTTTTTTAGGATAATGAGGATTTACTTGTTAATTCAGAATTTGAAGATGAAACAGCTGATATCAATGAAATTGACGATGGGCTGATGGCAGGCATTCTAATGTGTTATCACGAGATAAAGATTTGTCAGATTCAGGGTCCTCGAGTATCAAGAGATCGGAATTGGAATCAAGTGATTCAGATTCTCAGTCCGAACTTTTCGACGAAGATATGACTCCCGCACCTTCATTACAAAGAAAGAACGAGATCGTGGCATGCAACAACGTGGAGCCATGCGACGTTCACGCGGAATTACATCGCGAAGGGTAACCAATAATAGGAACGTGCCAGCGTCATCTTCATCTGGTGTGAGACATTGTGAGTGGTCAATGAAGAATTTTAATCAGCATGTTGTTTCGCGTAAAATATAACCCTTATATTTACCGATTGATGCAGATTCATTTACCGATAAATTTGATTACTTTAAGCTCTATATCGATGACGAAATAATGAAGCTAATAGTATTGAAAACTAATCAAACTTTTTTATCAAAATATGGCAAGTGCCTTGGTCATTATTGTTTAAATCTGTAATAAATATTGATTTTCTTCATAAAAATTGTGTTTTTATTTATATCGTTACAACCCAAAGTCCTACAGATAGTGTAAATTTTTGGTACCTACTTATTTAATATTAACCCAAAGTCCTTTACAAAGAACCAAAGATATGAGGTCTATACTTTACATATGGGTCCTTTGGTAAGTTATAAAGACACTAATAAACTATATCTAAAATAAAAACTGCAACAAAAGAAAACATTGCATTTTTTTGTTTGGGTTTGAAGATCAATAAAATTTGATTCTTTTAAAAGGACCTTCGGGTCGTAATCTAAACTAAGCAAAAATTTTCTTGGGCCTTACAAGGATATGAAACAAATGCCACTTTTATACATGTGTTGAATTTAGATCTCTTCTCATTTATGAGATTTTAGGAGCGGAGAAGAGGCCGTCGCGCAAGTTTCCTTAACATGTGTTTTCAATGTTACCAACGAGACTCGAACTCGCGTTACTCGTGTATTATAATAGAGAGCTTTGAAGATATACAGATACTGATACAGATATGACTTTAATAACGAACTCGTTATAAATTTCACCCACCGGGCACGTATCACATCAGCGCTCACAACTGCAATTAATAACAATTATAGTGTCGTGTAGCTGCCACGTAACTGGCGGTGTAAGAATATACACTACCCCACATCGCTCCGTGGGTGTCGTAAGAGACGGCAGAGAGAAACTGAAACAGAAGATGCACCAGCATCTTCTATAGGAGGCAATCTATGGGTGAGGCCTATGTTCAGCAGTGAACCTTCATAGACTGTAATGGATGGATGGCAGAAAAACTAGTTCCTATAATATAACCCATGCAAACCACGCTGCAGCTTAAAAACTTATTTTAAATGTTCTACTGAGAATATCCGCAACTGAACCAGAATAACCGACCTAGCCTAACGGATAAGTAAGCTGAAGGCAACCCGACAACAGATGGGTAAGAAATATTACTAGTTTACTCCTTTTTAAAAGGCCAGCAACGCACCTGCAATTCCCCTAGACATCCACATTTATCCTCACTTAAGAATCAGAATGCAAATGCGTTGTCACCCGTGAGGACTGAGATGGTATGCCTCGATTCCAGTAATAAAGGTCTCCTGTTCTCAACACTCACCATACGAAACACTGCAGCATTACGCTGCTATGTATGACATATATAGATAGATATTTACGCTGGTATTGTATGAGAGTGTGGTCCTGCCCCGGTCGAGCCGACCCATTAGCGCTACAACTACAATATAGCTGCAGCGTGGCACAGTAAATACCGTATGATTTATGAGAAGTAAACTTTTTATTTTTGTTTATTAGAGTTGTGGTGTGTTGCCTACTGCTAATTATTTCCCTAGGAAAAAAGTTATAATTATTTTTTTTACATTACTATTATAATTATTTTTTATAACTTAAAAGAGAAATTTTGGACATGGTTAAAACTGTATGGATTTATGTGAAATTAAGTTTAATTATTTTTATTTATTAGCATTGTGGTCAATGCTTACTGTTGATAGTTTCCCTAATATACGAAAAAAGTTATGCAAGCAACACAATATTTTTTTATTGCCTAAAAGCTGATTCCGGACACCGTTAAAACTCTATGATTTATGTGAAACAAAGTTTAATTATTTTTATTTATTAGCGTTGTGGTGTGGAAAAAAGTTATACAACACTATTATAATTATTTTTTATTACTTAAAAGGAGATGAGAAGGAGAAAGGCGGTTCCGAAAGAAATATGCATTCAACGCCAAAAAAAGGAAACCTTTCGTAATAACCAATGTAGACGAATTTGATACTGATGCAATAAGACGTCACATATATGGCAATTACTTTAGAAATGAATTCCCTACAATAAGGAAGTTAACCATATAGCTTCACAACTGTAGCTTGTTCCGTCTCTGCTGGCGAAAGTATTATTATTATTACTTCACGGGCTAGCAGTTGAAACAACTGATGTAAGCCCGTATCCTATTTTCAAATGTGTAATTATTCTAATTTTAGTTGTTTGTCTAATCTGTTCTTGAATTGGTTAGTTTAAGCAGATGTCACTTCCGATGACAGCTTGTTCCATGCTTCAACCACTCTTTGGCTAAAAAAGTGCTTGTGTGGGTTGTTATGTGACACGGTTTTGGTTAATTTGAAGTGATGTCCCCTAAGATGTGTGTTTGTTGAGTACTGGAATAAATCTCTGTCAAAATTTTCCAGATCATAGTGTCCATGTATAATTTTATATGCTTCGATCAAGTCTCCCCGTTCTCTGCGATCCTTCAGTGTCATTAGTTTAAGCTTATTCAACCTTTCTTCATATGGTATGTTTTTCAATACTCTAGGGACCTTTGAAAATCTACGTTAAACTTTCTCCAGTAACTCAATATCCTTTTTGAAATAGGGGCTCCAGATTTGGAACGCATACTCCAAAATAGGTCGAATGTATGCCTTTTGTATTTTTAGCATCATTTCTGGTGTAAGATGTCCGAAGGCTTTTCTAATCAGGTAAATAAAACTATTTGCTTTTTTTAGTTACAACTGTTATATGATGATTCCATTTTAAATCGTTACTTATATGCACACCTAAGTCTTTTTGTACTTTAACTTCTTCCAAAGGTATATCATCGATTTTATATATGAAACGAGGGTTTCGGTTTCCTATATGGAGGACTATGCATTTATTTATATTTAATTTAATAAGCCACCTTCTTGACCAATCTGATATTTTAATTAGATCTGCTTGAAGGCGATCAAAGTCCACTAGTGGGTTTGCGAATATCTTCGTGTCATCAGCGAACATACTTACATTACAACTCAAGCTTTTTGGTAGATCAAAGGTAAAGAGTATAAACAATACCGGTCCCAGTACAGAACCTTGTGGCACACCGCTTTGTATTTCTTTTTCATCTGACAATGTGTCGCTAATCCTTACTCTGAAGGTACTTTGTCGTAGAAAACTCTCAATCCAAGTTAACAGTTTCCCTCGAACACCAACAAATTCCAATTTATGTAAAAGCCTGCCTATTGGTACTATCAAAAGCTTTTTCGTAATCCAGATATATAACATATATTGGTTCTCGATCATTTTGACTGTTGACCCAGGATGATAAGCAAGACATCAAACTGAAAATCGTTGATCTATGAGGACAGAAACCATGTTGCTGCTTGCCAATAGTTTGTTGTTTGTTAAGGAACTGCCTCATGTGCTTAACTATTATCTTTTCCATGACTTTGCACACCACACTAGTTAAGCTTATCGGTCTATAATTTGCAGGATCTAATTTGTTTCCCTTTTTGTAAACAGGAGTCACTAAAGCCGTTTTCCATAAATAAGGCAAAACTTCTTTGTCGTATGATTTTTGCATTACTCATGCTAGGTAACTATCAATTCCGCAGTTCTTTATAGGTGGGCTTATACGGGCAACTAAAATTGCTCAATTCCAGTCAATACTCGTCAACTATGACGTCACGACTACTTCAAGCAATTTACGGAAACGGCCATAAAGATACAATACTGCGCAATACAATATTGAGCGATATGGCGCAACTTCATCAACTAGGCAATACTGACAACATTGTTCTTGATGCGGCGGTTTGTAGCGCTTTTTTATTATTAATCAAAAACAAAAAAGAAATAAAAGGAATAGGCGTATCTGGGTGCGATCGTTTTTGGCAAAGAGGCCGCAATTTTCATTGTGTAAAGAATTAGATGATATATTATTCAAATACTTTAGTAGAATGTCACGAACAGACCCGACCTCTCGCTCTCCCCGCGGAAGCAAGACGGCAAGCCGCAAAACAAACAAGTGCGAATGAGATATATACAAAAATTGCTAGAAATTTCCAAGCCCATTGGATATTCGTCAATTCGTATCTGCGACATTGAGCGATATGAAATATCTGGAGCAATTAGAAGCAATATCGCCGAAATAATTGCCGCAATTTGCTCCATTATTTTGAAATTGCTCCAGATCGGTCCATTCGCGTCGCCGAGCAATTATTGCCCTCGTGTAAGCGCACCTTAAAACATGTAGGGGTATTTCGTCGGAACCAGGTGACGAGTCTATATTCATTTCTTTGATAGCAGCTTGTAATTTGGATTCTGTGAACATGATGTCCTCTATAACTTCAGTTGCTCTTAGGTTTGGGTCAAGAGCAGGAAGTTTTTCTAGTGGTTCTCTTTCAAATACATTAGATGTTCTGCAAATACTTCCGCTATGTCTTTAGAACGTGTCACAGATTGCCCATTACTGTTCCGTAAAATGTTTGGTGTACTAACTTTAGAGGTGATTTGCTGCCTGATGTACGAGTAAAATTTCTTTGGTCCTAGATCTAATAGTTGATTTTCGTAAACTGCCCTTGCCGTGCGCCTTAAATTAGTCAGTTTGTTATTTAGCTTCCTGTATTCCTTATAGATTTTATCTGACCCTTTTATAGTATATCTCTTCCAAAAATTTTTTTTTCTCTTATAAACTCAGTAATGTCATTTTTTATCCATGGTTTATTTATTTTGTTAAATGTTTTTACAAGAGGAACATGTGTGTCTATGGCATTAGTTATTGTTTTATGCATTATTCTAAACTGTTCAACTGGACAAAGTACATCTTTAAACATTTTTTTTAAGCCGGAGTGAATATCTTCTTTGATTTTGTTGTAGTCTCCTTTATTAAGATTCTTTTTAGATTTAGATTGCTGCCTATTCTGTTGTTGTGTTTGTAAGTGTATAGTCGATACTAAGCATGCATGATCGCTTTTCCCAATTGCGGCCTCATAATTGATTCCAACTATCAAAGACTCATCATTTGTCAAGATTAGGTCTAAAGTAGATGGCTGGTGACCCTGGCGAAACATCGTATATTGATCTACCAATTGGTATAGATTATTGTTGTTATACCATTGCAAGAAATTGGTTTCTTTTGGCAGTAGATACACACAATTTGAAAATGGCCACTTGACTCCACCAAAGTTAAAGTCACCCATTATTATTACTGTGTTTGACTGGGAAGCCAGTTCTAAATTTTGTAGAAGCAAGTTGTCATGATCGATAGTTGATTCATGCCCTTTATATAGTCCACATAACAGTATTCTTTGAAAACCTCCTTCAATGTCTACCCATAAACATTCCCAAGAGTCATACTTCGTATTATACTATTTCGCTTTGATGTCATATATGTAATATTGTTCAATACATAAATAGCGACTCCTCCACTTCGTTTATCAATACGATCGTCTCTGTATAAGTCGTAACCCGGTATCTTTATCAGTGAGTCAGGTATATTTGGTTTTAGCCATGTTTCTGAGGACTATAATTGATGGTTTTAGTTGATCAACTCTTGCAATGAATAAATCCAGTTTAGATGTTATCGATTGTATATTTGTGTATAAGATTGTTATTGTTAAGAGTGCGGAAGGTATCGAAGATCGCGTTTTTTTTGTTAAAAAGATTTACTAGTGAGGGTTGGTGAATTTGGACTAGTTTTTATCTCCTGTTTACAGATAATTTTAGGCTGCCCTTGTATATACTTGATAGTCAAGCCTTGTTCTCCATTATTAGTACGTTTCTCTAATTCATCACGGAGGTATTTTAAGTACTCGCGTTGCATGGCAGTTTGGTCTGATTTAATAATTGACGGTTTATCCAGTTTAGCATTGTTACGAAGTATCTCAATAGCATCATTCTTAGACTTCATTACCACTTTAATGGGACGAGGAGGAGCCCCAGCTCGAGACTTACCAAGAGAAATAGTTTCACATTATCACAGCTAACTTTTTTGCTCACACACGTTATTATTTTCCTGCACTCTTCTTTATCATACTCCTGCCTTTGTAAAGGTTTATCCGGGGTTGATTCTGGTACGTCGTAAATTATTATATTGTTAGCTCTCTTAGTGCGCTCAGCCAATTCTTGTATTGCTCCTTCAGTCACAAGCATGTTTTGACGTAATCGCGAGTGGTGTACTTCTTTAGTAAGTTCCTCCAGTTGTTTCATTATATTTGGTATTTGTGCCATTAGTGACTTACAATCGACACATAAGAAAGAAACCACTCGAGCTATTGTCTTTAACTCGAACACTCTTACTTCAGTTGGTGACATTCCATGACAATCACCACATAAAATGCTCTTGCAGGAGTCACAACTTACTGATAGCTTTTTATCTTTTGTGGTATTGCTACATTTAGAACATTTAAAACTTTTTGGACTAATTTTATTTATTTTTTACTGATTTAGTAGAAAATTTCTTGTAATGACAACACTATTGTCTATAGTTCGCTTTCATTGACAGAACCGGAAATAAAATGTAACCTGAAAATCGGGCAAGTACAATAAAAAGGACTAAACAATTAATATTATTGGACTGGGAACGAGATATCGCTTTCGATAATATAAGAGAACAATCTTTAATTATCCATGTCAGTGCAGATTCACCATCAGACGAAGAAAGTATGTCGGTAGATGATGAATAATTTTGTAAAAATAAACTTTTAAATATTTATTTGGTTTAGTATAGTTTTCGATTTCCAAAATAATGTCCACTAAACTAAACTTTTAATATTTCTACATAAAATTGTAATATTTAACTTAATTTTTTTTTTTTGTAAAATAAAACAATATTGCAAGGTTTTTCGTGTACTCCGAAAGGATTAGTCGTCAGCATATGTATGATGTAATAATTAGGAATTGCACAAAAAATCAACAATTTTCGATCGCCTTACCACATCCCTAAAATAGTTTTCTAGCTGATGTGACTTTGTCAATAAACATGAAGGGTGGTCGCCCATTTCTTTGTTTGGAGTTACATTCGCGGACAAATTTAAGTCGACTACTCAGTGTAAGCTATCTAGAATACAAAAAACATAGGGGAAGAAAGTAAATGTGGTGTATGCCCATGTAAGTTTACACGATAGCCTAAGAGAGATTCACAGTATTAAATCTACATTCAAGACCAATTAGACGTATCATTTATTCCCCAAACCTCCCTACATTACATAAAGATTAAGCTTACATACAATATAAATGTAATAATGTGTGCACTACTGGTGTCCTATGCATAATAAAATAAATAAATGGACTTTGATGATACTGATGATTATGATCATCGACTGCTTACCTTACTGCAGTATCTTGATTTTTATCGACGTCAACCGCCACTTCATTAACAGGCGCAATTGGCGATACGCGACCAATTTCTGACGCGTTCATAGTAAAGTTGATCCTGCTCTTAACGGGAGTAGAGTGCATCAAAACTCGCTTCTTTATCGGCAAAACACTCTTCTCACTGCTTTTATTCGCTGATGTATCGATCAGGGACCTTTTTTTAATGGGCAGAGTGTGAGCTCCATAAATTTCCGACGCGGACTTCTTCCGTTCGACTTCTTCAACTAGGGAAGTTTTCGCCAGAGTGCTGTTTCTTATTCTAGAAGTGAGAACTGGAGAATTACCGTCAACGGTATCAGTCATCAGTTTTTGCAGTTCACGCGTTAGATTCGTTTTGGTTTTAGATATGTTCACGTTTGTGGGAGTTTCTTCAGTTACTGTTTTGGATTTGTTGATTGGAGCCTTCGTTTTAGAAACATCTTTAGATTTGTTTACTTTTGTAACTGTATTTTCTAATTTTTGAGCGATATTTGCAGACTTCTTTCCTCGGGTCAGAGATGTTGAAATGTTTGACTTATTTTTCGAATTATCTTTTAACCTTTTGCTTCTTGATAAAGATACATTTCCAGTACTCCGGCCTGATTTTAATGACAAAGTGGAATCATTGGATTTGTTCCCTAGTGTTCCCAGCTTCGATGATGGTTCACTTATATCATATTTGTGCATTCGTTTCCTCAGTTCAGTCTCTAACCAGTCCTCCACATTATCTGTTATCGAACTAAAGGAGGTTTGTAAAGACCGCGCTTTACGAATTTTTGGTTTTTGAATCAATTTGTTTGAGAAACTCTTAGCTTTCGGGTAAGACCGCACAGCCGGTTTACCAATAAGCAAGTCAAAGGAACTTTCCAGGTTGGCGTCAGGTAGATTAGAAGTTTGATGTGATTCACTAAACAACTCCTCAATACCACTTAAATTATTTGAATCATCTCTTTGTTTCTCTTGCCGGAATAATCTTCGTAACCCTCTAACATCGCTCAAATCATTCTTTGGCGAATTTCTACGCAATATTGTCTTGACTCTGGATACATTACCCAAGTCATTACCGGGACTGTTCTTTTTGAACAATTTTCTTACTCCTGCAACATCCTCTAGACTGTTTTTCGGCGATCTTATTTCTTTCTGCGATTGGAAAAGTGTTTTAACATTAGAAACTCTTCTTAAATCATTGTTAGGTGAGACTGCAAACAATTCCTTAACTCTAACGTCGCTTAAACGGTTTCTCGGCGACCTTTTAAACAGTGACTTCACTCCAGATACTTTGCTTAAATCATTTTTAACGGACCTTCTGTATCGTGGAGTATGCAGCAACTTTTTAGCACCTGTTACATTTCGAAGTTCATTTTCCGGCGTGGCTTCTGTAAATAAGCGTTCCAAACTGGTGACATTGGAACTATTACTGGGTGTACTCAAGGGACTGACGAAAACTTCCGGTGTGAATGCCTGCGAACGTTCCAATATAGAAATTTCAGGAGTTCTTCCTGTCAATGCGATTGTATTTCGCGTCGGTCTCCTTGGAGGTGTCGTGTCTTCTTCCAAAAGTTGCTTTCTAGAAAACTCCATCATGCTTTGTGATAGCTTTCTTTTTACAGGGCTGTTGAAAAGTTGCTTGACCATATCGGACTCATTAAGGTGATCTATAATGGACCTCTTTGACTTTGGTTTTTTAGCAGAAGAGTGTTTATTTTTAACAGTCTCTTGCACCAATTTCACAGCACTCTTTGGAGTCGATTCACCTTCATCTTGAGATACATATTTATTTAATTCCGCATAAGTTGGAGAATTCTTCAATGATCTTCTTAGAGAGACTCTTGTACCAAGACTCAATGATTTAGACTTACTACTTACACCTTTTCTAGGCACAGACGGTCGGCCTCCTACAGTTTTACGTAAAACTTTAACTGGTACCCTAACAATGCCTTTCTCCTTCGAATGTGACATTGTTAAGTCTTGACTCGAGTCCAGAAGACTTCGTATACTTAGCACTGGGGTACCAACTTCTTGGGGACTATTCTGGTCTGGGGTAGATGTACCTTTATTTTGTAGCGGACTGTCATTAGTATTCGAGTTTACAGATCTCTTGGAAGACCTTGGAGATGCAACACTTACTTTGCTCAAGCGTGAATGATTTGACCTCAATGATTCTGAATGCCTCGAGCTATCCAATGTAATATTTTCCTGGGATACTTCAGGTGTAGAAATGGACTTGGATTTCCTAGATTTTCTAGAACTGTCCAATGTAATGTTGTCTTGTGAATTCTCCAATGTCAAAACAGACTTTGCCCTTCTAGATTTTCTAGACACATTAAATGTGGCATCTTTAGGTGAAGTTACTGACTTTCTAGACTTTGTACTTAGCACTGGGGTACCAACTTCTTGAGGTCTATTCTGGTCTGGGGTAGATATACCTTTATTTTGTAGCGGACTGTCATTAGTATTCGAGTTTACAGATCTCTTGGAAGACCTTGGTGATGCAACACTTACTTCGCTCAAGCGTGAATGACTTGACCTCGATGATCTCGTATGCCTTGAGTTATCTAATGTAATATTTTCCTGGTATACTTCCGGTGTAGAAATGGACCTGGATTTCCTAGATTTTCTAGAACTGTCCAATGTAATATTGTCTTGTGAATTCTCCAATGTCGAAACAGACTTCGACATTCTAGATTTTCTAGACACATTAAATGTGGCATCTTTAGGTGAAGGTACTGATTTTCTAGATTCTGTAACATTTATAGTTGCGTTTTCTTTGGAATTTTCAATTGGTAAAGAGTTATATGACCTTGATTGTCGAGATTTTCTTGTGCTATTTATTGTGATATTATCTTGATCACTGTCTGTTGCTAATGATTTAGATTTATTCAGTCTTCCGCTAATGTTAAATGTAACATTGTCTGGTGTTGACAGAGACTTGGACTTTCTAGTAGAAATGACACTGTTTTGAGCGGGTGAATCATACTGAATAGAGTCATAACTGCGTGATGTGACATAACTTTGAGATCTAGATACCCTGGACTTGTAATCACTTTTCATAGCTGGTGTACTTGAAGCAAGGAGACTACGACCTCTTATCGAACTGGTCTTTCTTCCGGCAGTTGTATGCGGCGTACCGAATTTCGAGGTACTGGTATCAGCCGATGAGGCAGAATTATACACAGATGCGGACCGCGAATCATTAGAATCGATAGACACTAAGTCGACGATCGAATATGCTTCCATATTATCTCTAGCTGAGGTATCTCGTGGGCTCAGAGTCCGAGTTCTGCGTAAGGAAGCCGCGGTGGAGTTCCAGCTCTTTTCCGTTAAGCTTTTGGTGGCTCTACGCGAGTATGTCAATGACTTCTTATTGTCCGGAGTCTGCAAAACTTTCTGCAACATAACGCTACCGCGTGAGGACTTTCGAGATTTTGGGGATAATGGTGTTAGAGTATCTTGTACGGACTCCGTATCTGGTATAAATGTTGTCCCTAAAGTCCTTTCCATGATTTTACTACTGCGCGAGTGAATCGACCTCCTTGGGGAAGGAGATTTTGCTGTAGAGCTTTCGGAATAATGTAAAGTCAATTCGTCTTCAGATGCACTATTTTCAAAGCTCTTGTTAGTGGTGTCTGTAACCATTAAAACGTCCACTGAGTTTAAGCCACTGTTCTCAAGGTTGCTTAAATCAAACTTGATTGATTCAGTTTTCCTAGCGCTTTTCTTCGCAGTTGGATCTTTAAGTGCAGATTTCTTAGGACTCGGTAACAATGGCGATCGGATTAAGCTTTTTACGCCTGAATGTGTAGATACATCGCTTTCTCTCACTGTTTGATGAACATCAGAGTCAGTTATTTCCATCATTGAGGCCTAATAACAAAGAGTTTAAAGTTAAAAGCAAATATTCACCAAATGCTATAGAGATACGGAAAATATATAATAAACTAAAATCTAAACCATTTAATGATCTTTTAGTAAAAAGTTCCGTCTTTTATGGCATTCCTTGGTGGATGCCTATGTTAAGCAGTGGACTTGTGAAGGGAATGATGATAAATCAAACGTTTCTTCTTCTTCTTTCTTTTGTGGCGGTTTAATAAAATTCGCCAATGACGTATTGAGTGGAAAATGAAAGCTTATGAGTTTAATTAAAATATGTCTGTGATAATACAAGGATTCAGTTTTCCTGCGAGAATTTTGACAAATCTATTTGTTGAATTACCTAGAACAAATATCACAAACACAGGTGTTAGACTCTTACCAGTATGTTAAACGTGACAAGGATTTAAAGTTTCATATTATTAGTATTAATAAAATCACATAAAATATACACAAAAGGAGTACTGGTATATGTTAAAAGAGAATTAAAATCTATAGGTCGAGGAATATAAGGAGGAAGGTAATCATAAAGGAAGGAGGATAATTTGGGACAGTTGAAAAAAATATGGTTTGTGGAACCTTCATCTAAGCCACATTCACACAATGAGCTATCCCTTACTCTGATTTTTGCCAGATGTGCATGTGTACAAGCGTGTCCAATTCTTAATCTACAAATTATTGAAGTTGCATGTTTATTTGCTTTGTTAAATTTAAAGAACCAGGGCTTGGGAGGAATAACCTCTTGGATGGCAGCATAGTGCTTACCTTTAACATTTTTGGAAACTTCCCATAATTTATTCCAATTTTCATTCAGTTTCCTTTTAGCTAGCAAAATTAGGTCACGTGAGTAAATAAAATTTTGTAGAATGCCATTAGCAATTGCATTTTTAGCGAGTACATCAGCTGTTTCGTTACCATGAATACCACTGTGGCCTGGAATCCAGGCCACTGAAACATGAATTCCTTTAAGATGGCATCGGAATAGGGTATTTTTTATTTTAAGAATTAGTGGAAATTTATGTTTGTTATGGAATTGATTGGACAAAATAGCTAACAAACAACTTTTGGAATCTGTGAAAATAACTGTTTTATTAAGATTATGTGACTCTACATATAACAAAGTTTCACTGATTGCAGTTGCTTCACCGATAAAAGTGGAGGACAGTGAGGGGCATTTAAAGTTAAGAATGATTTTGAACTTAGGAATCCAAACAGCAGCTCCAGTATAGTCTTCATCAGACTGTTTTGAAGCGTCTGTGTACATGACAAGCCAATCTTTAAAGGTGTTTTCTATAATTTCTTTTAATTTCAAATTTGCCATTGGAGAATCCTTTTCTATACCTAGATCTAGATGAATATCGCGTTGGTAAACAATAGCCTCGTATGGAACATCAAAGAGTGGATTTATTTTACATTGAAAGATTGGGTAAGGAAGCTGCAGAAAAATTACAAAACTTCTAAACAAGCAGGGAGAGTCCTTATGGGTCCAGTATCGGTCAGATGAGATATACTCTGAAAGAAGATACAATTTAGGAATTAGGGGATGATCTGGAAGCTGGCAGATCTTAAATAAGAATCTGTCTGAAAGGTATTGCCTTCTTAAGCTTAAAGGAGGATCTACGCACTCAACCTGAAGAACATTTATTGTTGAGGATTTCATTGCCCCTGTAATAATGCGAAGGCATTTCGATTGAATTTTGTCCATTACTTTCAGGGATGATTTATTGCAAGGCTCCAACAGAAAACATCCACAGTCAAGGTGGCTTCGTATTAAAGCATTGTACAGTAATTTCTGAGAAAAAGGATGGGACCCCCACCAAACACCAGACAAAGACCGAAGAATATTTATGTTTTTTTCGCATTTTTGTGTTATATATTCAATGTATGGACCGAAGGTCAATTTCGAATCAAGGATAACTCCCAAAAATTTAACATTGCCTTTAACTGGAATAGGTTGCTTATCATATATAACAGATATATCGGGAACTCGCCTTTGGCGGGAAAAGATCACCACACTACTCTTGGCCACAGATAAAGAGAGGCCATGATTAGTTAACCATTCTTGTAAATAATCCATGGATGAGTTTAGACGGAAACATGCCACTGTGAAGTTGTTTAAGGAGATGTATAGAGCTAAATCGTCTGCATATTGAAGAACATTACAAAAAAAAATTTACTGAAAGTTCTAAATCGTGAGTATATATAGAATAAAGAGAGGACTAAGAACTGAGCCTTGTGGAAGTCCTTTCCATATAGTTTTTGGGGGAAGCAGGAAATTTTTAACATTTATTATAGATATTGATCTAGAAGAGAGAATGTTAGACGTAATTGACTATCCTCACTGGAATGCTCAGATTAAGCATTTTCTGCCTGAGCACAGGAAAAGCACATTATCATATGCAGAAGAAATATCCAAGAAAACTCCTATGAGAAATTCATGTTTTGAAAAAGTAATATGAATATCTGTGACCAAAGTACTAGGGCTATCCATGGTACTTAAACCTTTTCGGAAACCGAATTGGGTTTTAGGTAAGAGATTATTCCTTTCCAAAAACCACTCCAAGCGATTTTTTACTAAATTTTCCAAGATTTTTGCCAAAGTACAAGAAAGGGCAATAGGTCGGTTACTGGAAGGGTCATTGCTAGACTTACCTGGTTTGAGAATGGGCAAAATAATTTGGGTTTTCCTTTCAGCAGGAGGATCACCAGTAATATAAATAAAATTTAAAATGGATAGTAAGACAGTTTTAGTGTTTTCACTACTATTAATTATAAATGAATAAGGAATCCCATCAATACCTGGTGAGGAGTCTTTAAGGCCATTGAGTACAGTAAACAATTCCTGAGAAGAAAAGGGGGAATCAAATTTATCATTTGTTTTTAAAAAAGCAGAATTAAAAACTAGGCATTCATCATAAGATGGGACTGTTTGTGGTGCAAGTTTATTAGAGAATTCATCTATCCACGGGGAAGGATCATTAGAAATTATATTTTCACTAGAAACTGCACAGCGATATTTTTTAACATTTCTCCAGACCAAAGATGGGGGAGACCTAGGTGACAATGACTCACAGAATTTAAACCAACCAGTTCGCTTTTTGTCTGACAGTAATTTTAAGGTTTCTGCAGCAATTTTATAGGAGATATAATTCTCTGCAGTCATAGAACGGGAGTATATTAATTCAGCCTCTTTTCTTCTCCTACAAGCTGCTGAACAATCTTGGTCCCACCAAGGAGGGGAAGGATAATTATTTTTGAAAGGTTTTTTAAGAGGATTGACTTATTAGCAGCAGAAATAATTGCATTTCTGAACTCTATGTATACAGGAGCAATATTATCATTGTTAATTGGGGGAAGAGTTGAAACTTCTTTTTCCAAAACTGTAGAATATAATTGCCAATTAGCTTTGGATAGATTATAGTTTAGTCTTGGGCAAAATGTAAAATTTATTTTAGATGAAGTACGAGGAGTGATGAATATAGGAAAATGGTCACTGCCATAGCTAGAAGGTAATATTTGCCACAAAAGAAGGGAAGCAATATCTGGGGAACAGAGAGTTAAGTCAATGGCACTTCTAACATTTTGTAATGGGGATACTCGACGGGTAGGAGACCCGTCATTTAGAATACAGAGATTAAAATTATCAATAAGATCTATAACTAAGGGAGCCAGTGAATCACACAGATGGGAGCTCCAAACAGTATGATTCATATTAAAATCTCCCAAAATAACCATAGGAGGTGACAGAGAAGAAATAAGTGTTGCAAGTTCTGTTAAAACATTTACATCAGGATTAGGAATGTAAACAGAGAGAATAGAGACATCAAGGGCCTTAATAGCAACAGCATTTACTGCTGGACTATGAGAAGGGAGAGGAATTTGTGAAAATGTAACTGTTCTTGAAATTAAAATAGAGGTGCCAGCACGACCATCACTCCTATCATCCCAGAGGCATGTGTAGCCTGAAACCCTAAAATGAGACTCAGGCCTAAGCCATGTCTCCTAGATCGCAAGAATGAAGGGATGAAGTTTATTAATGAGGTAAGAGAGTTAATTTTTTTATTTCTAATGCTCCGACAATACCATTGAAGAATTGGTGGGACTGCGAATGTTACGGGCTAAGGAGGAAAGCTGAGTAAGTTTTTGGTGTAAGCTGAGAGGAAGTTCCGTGTCACTAAAACGAGAGATCATGTTAATTAGCATTGATATCATAAGTTCGCAGAAATTATCATTACTAGAGGAGTTGTTGTCATTTACCAGTAGAGCACACCCATTAGGAAGAGAAGAATTAGGATTCTCAACAATTGCCTGATGGGCTGCCATACCATATCCAGAATTTAATGATTGGCTGCAGGTACGTTGAGGGATAAAAATTGTTTTTTTATATGATGCAGTTTGTGAGAGCTGAGCCGAAGGGGTTGAAGGACTGTCAGTTATAGTATAAGGGGTCTGTTGAGAATAATTATGAGGCTGGATTCTTGTTGTATCAGCAAAGGATCTTTTTGTCTGAGGGAATCTAGCTGAAGCTTCTAAATATGAAATATTTTCTTGTGACATAACAAATTTAATAGATTTTTGCCTTAGATGTTCAGGACACGTAGGGTCTTTTGTGGTGTGGGGACCAGAGCAGAATAGGCAAGTAGGAGTTTGTCGAGTACAAGAAACCTTCATGATTTTGTGCACATACAAAGCAGCGAGAGGATGATCGGCACTGGGAAGTAACATGGCCAAATCTACAACATTTATGACACTGAATTAGTGGCAAAACATATTTTTCCACTGGCATTGAGGTGTAAAAACAGTAAATATGGGGAGGAAGTTTTTGTCCAGAAAAAGTTAAAACAACCGTCTGAGTTGGAACCCATGAAACGTTTACGGTTAATTAGTTCTACATTATCAATGTTAATGGGTAAGGAAAAGGAATCATTGCGAACCCTTCCGGGATCGGGAGGTTCGTCCTCCATTATATTACTACAACAAACAATTACATAAAAACGGCACAACTACAAACACTAATTTACAGAGGTTAACCCTCTATAACTCAAAATCTTTAAATTACATATTTTTCATGGAATCGGATAGGATTATGAAATTAATAAAATACGTATTTTTTAAAATTATGTAATTTTTTATAAATCAAGCATAATACTACAAAAAAGGGAGTGTAGCTCCTAGGCAACAATGAGTTACAACAGTAAAAATTAGTTAATATCACTTTAATTGAGAAGAATGTAAATCAGTTACAACAGATGGAAATTCCTGAAACAATTTTTGTTTTTGGTATAACATAAAGCTACGCCGCATTTATCACACACCGTATGAGTAAATCCAGCACACTTTGGGAACTTACAACGGATTTTTTTTTCTGCCCATTGAGGCCAGTGACCGACTTGATCTTGGCGGACTGCTTGTGGAGGTACATGTTGGGCAGGTCCTTTGTGTTTCTTTGCTAGGATTTGACCTTCAATAGATCGGCGTATTGTTAAACCCGTTTTCACCCCCATCTTGCACAATGTTTCGGCAATTTCCAGGCGAAAATCTGCAGATGCCATGATGGTCTTGTTGGGAATGTTTTTATACTTGCAGACTCTTTTATAGAACAGCCATGCATTAGCCATTGTTAGGTCTAAGAAGTGATAGAAGAGACGCATCTGCCAACGTTTGCTTCTCAGTTTTATCTTGTAGATGCCCATAATGCTATCTACAAGGTCCACACCGCCCATATGACGGTTATACTCGCTCACAACATTAGGTCGCGGGATGTTTATGTATCTTGAGTTCTTTTTGTCGTATCTCCGGACTTCGCTTATAGGATTTAGACCAGCAAATGTGGAAGCCAATGTAACAAGCTTATTGTCCTTCCATACAACCGTTGACACGTCGACGCTGTTGACATCAGCTATGTACTCTTCAGAATATCCTCGATCTTTCTTCATAATCTCTTTTTCTGACGACAGCTTGCAGTCAGGTATTCTATTCCTTCTAATAGTACCTAGCCCAAGAATACCTTCTTTTGCTAAATATTCCAAAAGATGCAAGGATGTGAAGTAGTTATCGAAATAGAGCCTGTAATTTTGGTGTCGCGGAATCATACGCGATAATCTCACTACTACATTGGAAGAAGCTCCTAAATCTGGCTCGTCGGGTCTGACAACATTCTCTTTGCCAGATTCAATCTCTATTGTATAAGCAAAACCGGAAACACCACTCAAAACATATAATTTATAACCCCACTTATGCGGTTTCTTGGGATTATACCTTTTCAGCATGTTACGCGCTTTTGTAGAGCAAATTTGCTCATCTACACAAAGTTGTTTTTCTAATGGAACTTTACCATAAGATTCGTTCAAGGCATCAACGACTGGGCGAATTTTGAAGATCCTATCGGAGTCAGGGTGGGTCCTATGTAGACATTTAGTGTTATCATTAAAATGCAGATATTGTCTAATCTTTTCAAATTTATTAGAAGGCATGGTCTGTTGAATTACAGGTGTACCCAAGACGGAACTCCAGTGGTTGGTCACTCTGGGTAGCTGAATCAGTGACATCATATATACTACCCCTATAAATTGACGCATTTCTGTCTCCGATACACGAAACGTGCTGTTTGGGTCTTTTTGTACCACGTAGAGGTTTGTCTCTTCCGAAATTCTCTTTATGAGTTCTGGTGGAAATAAAAAAAGAAAGAACTGTATTGGAGTATCAAGGTCCAAGATATCAGAACTCAATGACTCATTGCCAGTAAAAGCCAGCTGCTGTGCATTCAGCTCTAAATTCTTCTTTTTCCACCGTAATGTTAGCTTTTCAGGCTTTCGACGTTTTACAGGGGGGATCTGAAGTACCTGGAATGTCTGAACTAGATAAGGCCGGCCCTACTTCTACCTCAAAGTTGGAGTTACGGTCGTCATCATTCAAGGTGTCTACTAGTGCATCTATGTCGAATTCAGCTTCCAAAGATTCGTCAATCGACTCTTCAAAATCTGGTTCAAAGTCAGGATCCATCAAACTATCGTCATCTAAGTCGAGTCCATCTTCACTTAAATCACATTGAAGTGCGCAGGCGATTTCGTTTTCATTTAGGTGAATTTGGTGAGCCATGCTAAAACAAAATAATAACGAGTGTAAATATCCACAGTGTTCGTACAAGATAGTTCCCCTTTCCGCACAATGTAGCCTACAAGACACAAACACTAATAGTCACCTAATACATAAAAACTGTAAATTATCAGCAAAAATATAATAATATGGTAAACTATAAACACTTACCTTACAGATTATCAAGAAAAGAAACACCAAAAAACAAAATAACTATTTTCTTATATTTTTTGTCTTTTAACATACTCTGAGCATTTGAAACTTTTCACTTCACTAACGATATTTCGTTGTTTGAGGCAAGTAGCGACATCTAGTTTGACATGCTTGTACTAAATTGAAAGAAGAGAGTGTAGACAATACTCTACATTGCTTGAAAAAACGAATTAATTTTACTTGGAGAATTTAGGAAAGGTGAAACGGTATGTTGCCTGTAGTCTACCATACGTTACAGAGGGTTAAAACCTCCACCAAGACAGAAAAATTTACTATAGTAAATCAACAACACTTAATAAGAGAATAAATTTTAAGCAAAAAAGGCACGACACTTGTATCTCTCACTTCCTCCCATAGCACATCGATCAAACGTTTGACATATGAAAAAAAATCACACAATATAAAACTACTTACACACCAAACATCACAGTTTTTGGCAAATCTTCCCAGTTTAGATCCGGCGCCAGTGAAAGTTAATAGTTAATTACAGTTTAATGTGCAGATTTGCTCTTAGATACACGAAAACATAAGGAAACCTGATGGTCTAAAATAAAATAGTATTTGAAAATAGCTTTGAGTTGCCATCCCGATGGCCACGGATTCGAATCCCAAACAGAACAAGTATTTGCATGGCCTACAAATAATTGTTCGGGTCTGGATGTTTGTCCTTGTGCAATTCATGTCTGTTAACTGCCTGAATGATGCAGAAGAAAATCCTAGTGTGTAGGTAATGTATAAAATATGTGTTGCGGACTAATATATATATATATATATATATATATAAAAAAAAATATATTTTATTATATATATATATATTTTATACATCCCGTAACTTATTGTATGTCCACTATGGCCAATTTTGCATATAATGTGGCATCAACCTGCTTATGACGTCCAATATACGGACGTCAAATAGGAGACTTAGCGCAATGTTCGCAAATTGTCATGCTGATCACAGAAATGTCAAAATCTAAAAAAAAAATTGGACGTCAATTTTCTTCCAATCTTGCTGTACTGAATATTTACGTAGTTCCGCTAATTTTCGTTGCAAATATAATAGCGCTGCTGTCGATTTTTGCATACTTTCATTTATATCCGTATTTGACTTCCGCACAAAATTAGGAGATGCGACATTGCCGTTCCGTTGTTCCGTCACCGTTGCCAACGTGTTACTTGTATTTGGTGATATATGGTTATGACCGCCTCGTTGGTCTAGTAGTTGTAGTAGTGCGACTGCTGATCATGAGGTCCTGGGTTCGAATCCCGGGTCGGGCCAAAAAATCAATTATTGAGTTTTTCTGTCAAGAAATTCTCAATAGCTGCCCGGAGTCAGGAAGTTGGCGGTGTATCACCCCTTCCCTCGGAAAGCACGTAAAGCCTTTCCTCCTGCGCCTGATCTCTCTCCGGTCGTGTCGGTTTACCGTCCCATCGGATTATGAGAGTGAGGGAATAGAGAGTGCACCTGTGGTTGCGCATCCACTTGTGCACTATAATCCTGTCCTGCGCCGATGGCTAGTCTCCGTTGAGGCAGACCGCCGTGACCATAATTCGGTCTGCAGGACATTATTATATGGTTTATACTGCGCTTGGTACTAGTAATTTTACTTTTAAACTTGTTTTCTTAACCTTACATTTACCTACACATAATATGGACGTCCGAATATCCTAAAACTTTCATACTGAATGATATTTGACACCCGTATTTTTGAATTTAGTTATATTTTTATAAATGTATATGCAGACGTCGGTTTATCGGTTTATTTCATGCTGCACTATATTTTAACATTTTACATTTGGTACTTTGTAAGCAACCCATAATTCTGTTTGAGTATAAGTTACCTTCTGATTGAGTACAGGAAGATGGACTCAATTGTAGATATTGACATGTGTCATAGAAATTTATTTTATTATATTGCGACTAATAACCTCTGACTAATAACCTAATATGGTCTGGCGAAGAAACTCATTTTAATATAAGGTTTTACTGCATTAACTGCCAATAGGTTGTTAATTTCTACAATAGACCGTGGCGTATTGTTACTGAATGCTGACATGAATAACTCCGAAAATATAATTTATTTACTTGATCGTGTTGAGTTTTGGAGCTCTCACTGCATCTTAAGGATGAGTGCGACTATTGTACCTAATCTGTACGAAATTACTCTCTACTTAACTAGATTTATTTTTGTGAAAGGCTATTTTTGTTAAATTATGATATTATGTTTGGTTTTGCAGTTAGTGGAAATACAATTTAATTTTTCACACACGTTTTCTAAGCTTCTAAGGGTTTTATCATTTCTAGAATGAAACATTTTATAAAACACCAAAGTGACTATTTTACACCGCATGGCCTCCCCACACTAAAATACGAATAAAACAATAGCGAAAAATGTCATTAAAGCAATGATCATTAATGTGTCTTTAATACAGAAGGAATTTAAATATAAATATATTCATAGTTATATGGACGTCAAATATCGTGCGGTATTAAACTTTACCGATAATCTGATGTCCACATATAGAAATAAAACAAAATTCAAAAATATGGACGTCAAATATCATTCAGTATGAATGTTTTAGGATATTCGGACGTCCATATTATGATGTGTATACAGGTAGTAATTTAAAGTTAAAATTTTGGCGCACAAAGTGCCCCAAAAACCGCTATAAACGGCAACATTTATCAAAAAAGAAATAAGAAAGGTATTCTAAGCGTTTTATCGTTTCGAAAATGGAGCATTTTATGAAACACCAAAGTGACTATTTATACCGCATACACTAAAATAGAAATAAAACAATAGCGAAAAATGTCATTAAAGTAATGATCATTAATGCGTGTCTTATACACAAGAAATTAAAATATAAAAATATTCATGGTTATATGGACGTCAAATATCCTACTCTATTCAGTATGAATGTTTTAGGATATTCGGACGTCCATATTATTATATATAGCTAAATCTAAGGACGCGAAAACAAATTGGAAAGTAAAATTATCTACTAGCGCTGAGTACAGTATAAACCAACAAAAAATACCAAAATATGCCTTGAGCACTAAATAAATAATCAACATAAATAAATAGTAAAATACAATAATCAACGAAAACTTTGGACATCGGATATCGAAGAAGTGGACGTCAAATAAAACTTAGTGTAAATATTTTAGGATATTCTTACGTCCGTATATGTGATCATAAAAAGTAAACTCGCAGTGAGAGCACCAAAACTCAATACGATCAAGTAAATGAATTATATTTTCGGAGTTATTCATGTCAGCAACAATACGCCACGGTCTATTGTAGAAATTATCAACCCATTGGCAGTCATTGCAGTAAAACCTTATATTAAAATGAGTTTCTTCCCAATGTCATATTAGGTTATTAGTCACAATATAAGAAAATGAACTTCTATTAAACCTGTCAATATCTATAATTAGTACTTATTTACAGTAGTAAAATAAATGATAATATAGTCAATCTATAATGTATCCCGGCTGGGCAATCCTAGATAATTTTTCGTATTTAGTAAACGAATAACTAGTTGGTAAATTAATCATGATATCTATCTGTTTTTTCTCGCCGGAAACAAAAATGATGTTGCGTATTTTTCGTAACTGTACATTCTATGGATTTATTTCATTATTTTGTACAATATACGAAACTTAAGTGAATAAAATTAAATCTAATCTGAACCAGAATCATAAAAACTGTATTATTCGTGCTAAACGAATCTAATAACGATCTGTTATTTTTGTCAAAAAACGGACTATAAGAATCTATCAAATACCTACATAAAACAAAATATCACCTATAAATAAAATATTTAACAAATCGGAATAACTAATAAGAATGGCAATGTCGCACCATACAAAGAATTGCGTTAAGCAGGAAAATGAATTAAAAACTATGTATATTACGGGGATTCTGGATAATTTGTATATACATACAATAATATATATAGTCTGCAACACATGTATTTATAATAATAAGAAATTTCTCCTACATTAAAACCCGCTCACAAGTGAGAACTTGCCCATGCCCAATAGTGGGACACATGTAGACTGTTACTTTACTTTCCTTCTAATTTGGGGGAAGCCTTGTAAGCCTATAATTGATTGTTGGAGCAACTCCTATGCAGTATTTTCTTAATATTTTTAAATACAAACCCAAATTATCTAACATCTGTGATAAAAGATGATAGGATGACAAAATGATAACTACAAACATATATTATATATTTGGGTGGCAATATACTTACGGATTGATCTAAAGATGCCTTGCCATTCTTACGAGATAAATTATTTGATGCAGTACTCGCTCTAGTTGAAGTAATGCTAGTACTTAATAAGTTCTTGGAAAGTCTGCCAGATTTCCTTGGAGTCTTTTTGACAGGGCTGGGCTTTTTAACAATGAAACTGGCCCGCTTAGCACTGCCTTGCTTAGGACTGGGCCCTTTTTGCCTTGTACTGGATCTTTTCTGTTTCGGACTTGACTTCTGTTTTGGTGTGTGCCCAGCCATCAACATTATTGCCGCCTGTTTTGTGTGATCTGTGGATTTAATAAAACATACATGGAAAATGAAAATCTTTATTTAGTATCTTTTACATGGTAACATGACTAAACTAAACCCTAAAAATGTAAATTTGTTATGTATAGGGGAGGCATAAAAAATTGCATATAAAAACCCAGATGTAAAACCCACATTCTTACCTGTTTCTGCCGCTCAATAGCAGTGCTCGTGTTTTGGTGATTTTGATCCAGTATAATTACAGGCTATGAGATATCCCATCTTAGTAACGCGACAGTGACAACCTAGCTATAGCCTTCTTTGTATCAAGTTTTTACATGGTGGAGCCATGCTGCAGGTACATGCTCTCACAGAATACCAGCGTAAATTAGTAGCTTAATACTGCTGTGTTTCGTAGGGTGAGTAGAGAACCGGAGACCATTTTTTACTGGAAGCGAGGCATTCCATCTCAGCCCTCATGGGTGACAACGTATCCGCATTTTGATTTGTATACGAGGATAGATGTAAATGTCTATGTGCCACAGCAACCACTTACCATCAGGTGGACTGTGTGCTCGTTTGTCACCCTATCCTATAAAAGAAACGGTTGGTTGCAGATTTTCATGGGTGCAGTAGCCACTTACCAACAGATGGACTGTAAGTTTGATTGTACTTTTAGTGTTATACTAAGACGATTCTAACGACACCCCATATGTTAAGATCTATCAAGCCATTTAGGATATGAAGTGTTCCAAAGAAATAGATAGACATGCATATATAAATACACTCGAAAACCATCACCTTCCCTTCTGTAGCAGTTGGGTATAAAAAAGGGGCTACCAAGCTGTCAACTTTACAAAAATATCGTCTTGCCCTTTTTTATCTACTATGTATAATTTATGAGGTGTTACGTATGCCAACAACATCTATTGGCGATCATAACATTCTTTAGGCAATAGTCTTACACTATCACACAGACAATCCTATTCATCAATCAATCCAGACATCCAATAATTTGTATTTTTACACAAAACTTGACTTAATTAGAATTTAAACTCACAATCCACATGAAGGTATTATGATCACGAAATTTGGCTAGTTCAAGTGCACTACATACCTACAGTCAATGGCGCTTCAATCTTCTTGATACGCATTTTGTGTGCACTCTGCGCCTTCTTAAGTACTGCCATCCTCAGTGGAGTACTCTTCTTGGCAGAGGCCACTTTCCTTGGGGTGACCTCTACACGACTGGGACTCTCCTTGACACTCTTCCTTGGACTGGTTTTCCGTGATTCAATCCACAGTGTGGCTTTAGTGGTATTTTGTAGATTCATTGGAGCAGCCCTTAGTGATTTGGATTTACCTTTTTCTTCTTCTGATGTGTCAATTGATATATCACTTTCCTCTTCAGTTTTTGGGGTGCGAGGCCGTCTCACATTAGTAATAATGGAGACTACAGGACTTGAAACAGCTTCTGCGAAAATTTAATCAATTGATGACATGTTCTTAATAATTTTATAGAAGATAAAAGTAGGTTTGGTGAATGTTTGGGTTTAGAGATAAATATATTATTTCATTAAAATAGTTTTATTGATGTTTAAAGCTTACCAATGTGATCAGCAGTATCTCTTCTCTGCGGCTGTACAATAGCGACCTGACGTGTGCTTAGGGCCGCTGAAAAATATTTGTTTGTTATATATATTTCTATATTATACATATTTCTATTATAATCATTAAAACAACACAAATTTTTACACTGAATGAAAATTCAATTGTAATTTGCTTATTAATATGAGTGTGCAGCCTGCGTGTCTATGAAAGCATGTATGAGGGTATGCCAGTTATCAATGAAATGGAATTAGACATGCAATGTTAATTGACCCCACATATTGAATAAAACTATTTATCCCAATGTCATAGTTAGCCCGGGCACCTTCAGTTTTTTAATACAAATTTTTGGACCAATTTACACAGTATGAGCTTACAGTATCTTGAAGTCCTCAAGTGGTATGCTTGGGTTTGGATTTAATTTTTTTAATTATACGACCCCAAGCAGATGGTAGCACCTATCCATCTTCTCTGTTAAAATTAAGATGTATTTTAATTTCTATAGCCTCGCGTATCATCCTTGGTAGGAATTGGTGTTCTTTTACGAGGATTTGTGGTGGTTTATCAAATCTGATGTAATGGTGGGGACTATCTTGAACACATTCACAGACTATTGGTCACACTGTGTATAGGAAACAGACCACCAATACCAACCTATATTTAAATGGTGAATGTCACCATCATCATTCACAGTTAGCTATCGTGGGTAAATCTTTGTTTCAGAGAGCAAAAGGGATCTCTGACAGAAAACATCTGGCCGCCGAACTTCAACACGTCAACCAAATATTGCAAGACAACAAGCTTCGGGTTCCAGCCTTCTCGAACAAGCAGGTTTCCGAAAAAGCTTTAGCACCATAGACCACATACATACCCTTCGGTAAATTGTACAGAATTCCGAAGAGTACAAAGAACATACAAGTAGCGTGAAGCGCCGACGCTCCGGGAAGTCTGCAGTCTGTAAACATGTGTTCAAGATCGTCCCCACCATTATATCAGATTTCATAAACCACAAATCCTCACAAAAGAGCACCGATTCCTACCTAAGGATGAAACATAAGCCTATTGAAATTAAAAATGTATGGTTGTGAAAGTTGGGTATGGCAGAAGAAGCACTAGTAGAATAAACGCAGTAGAAATGCGGTCGTTAAGGAGTTTGTTAGGGCTGAATCTGAGTGACAGGGTGAGAAATCGTGTGATAAAAGAAGAATGTGATTTGCAAGATGATGCTGTGACCAGGATTAAGAAAGGAATTCTTGTGGTTTGGTCATGTAGAAAGAATGAATGAGGAAAGTGACAAAGTATATTTATGTTGCAGAAGTGAATGGAAGTCGTGAAGGGACGTCCTAGGCGAAAGTTTATCGACCAAATTGACGATATATTTAAAATGAGTCAAATTAGGAGTACTCTTAACCATCGATCATGTGTGCGTAGGTATATGTGGAGGAGGCGAGAGGTGTGTCAGGATCGTGCCAAATGGAAGTCTGTAGTCTCTGTCTAACCCTTTGGGTGACAGGCGTGAGTGTTTTATGTTGTTTTTATGATGGATAGGTGCTGCCATCTGCTTGGGATCCTGTAATTAACACAATTAAATCCAAACCCAAGTATACCACTGCAAAACTTCAAGATACTGTAAGCTCATTCTGCGTAGATCACACCATAAATTAATATTTAAAAACTGAAGGTACCTGGGCTATGACATTGGGACGTCAAACATCTCAGCCGCCCCGTGACCATGGGTGCTGTAAAGCACCCGAAACTTCAAGGATTAGAAATAAGTTAATTAAACGCGATAAAATCCGTATAAAAAGTTTGATTCAATGCTTAGTGTTTGCGTAAATATAAGAAATCATTATGTAATTCCCCATGGCTTTTTTGTGGTCCATTAGTGCTGGCTATGCAATGTGGCTTTTACAGTGAGCGTTTAAACTTACAAAATAATTAACAGTGCATAAACGTGTGCGTGAGTGTAAGGGTATACGTGTGGTTGCGTATGTAGATGTGTGGACAGTGACGGGCATAGAGTATCAGTGGCATGCGTGTGTTTGTACATGTGCAGATGTGTTGTATGTGTGTACATGAGGACAGTACCGGGTATGGAGTCTCAGTGGCATGCGTATGTGTGTGCGTATGTGTGTGTACATGTGTAGATGTGCGCGTGCGTACATGGACAGTACCGGGCATGGAGTCTCAGTGGCATTCGTGTGTGGTACATGTGTAGATGTATACGTGCGTAAGTGGACAGTGCCGGGCATGGAGTCTCAATGGCATACGTGTGTATACTATAGTTCGTACCAAATCGATTGAGAAAAACGGGCATTGACCTTTCGGTCGTTTAACCAGGGGCTACAAACCTTAAATATATAGGCACTTTTTATATGTAGTACTTACTTTATTTAATGTGATTTTTTTATAATGATTGATATATATTTATTAAAAGTTATGTAAAAGATCGCTGTAAAGAAAAATCATCTATTGTTATAAAGTAATTTATTCATTTAACAACAAAAAGCATTAATTTATAACACATATAAAGATTCGAGTGATAACGACACCGAATAAGTACGCACTTATTCAAAAGATAAAACTTTATCCTATACCTTTAAACGAGCAATTCTTGTATATATATATATATATATACATATATATATATATATATATATATATATATATATATATATATATATATATATATATATATATATATATATACAACGTGTCCCAAAATTCAACGATAAACGGGCACCAGAGGGTGGACCTGCTCATGACTACTCGAGAAAAAAAAAAGAAAAAATCTAAATCGTATTTGAAATTACAAAATAAAAATGAAATTCTTCGAAAATCGAAGATGAATGAATGCATGAATTGCTGCGTTCATCATCATTATCATCATTACAGCCCTTTACAAGTCCACTGCTGAACATAGGCCTCCCCCAAGGTATGCCACAAAGCACGGTCCTGAGCCACCTGCATCCATCGACTTCCTGCATGTCTTACCAGGTCGTCACTCCATCTAGTGGGGGGTCGCCCTACACTTCGCCTACCGGTACGAGGCTGCCACTCGAGAACCTTTTTCCCCAACGGTTGTCGGTTCTTCGAGCTATATGGCCGGCCCATTGCCACTTCAGCTTACTAATCCATTGGGCTATGTCGGTCACTCTGTTTCTACTGCGGATATCCTCATTTCTAAGTTTATCGCGCAAAGAAACCTCGAGCATAGCCCTCTCCATAGCTCGCTGAGTGACTTTGAGCGTCCTCATATGGCCAGCAGTGAAGGACCACGTCTCAGTTCCATATGTCATCACTGGCAACACGCACTGGTTGTACAACTTATTTTTCAGGTTTTGAGGTACACCTAACGAGAATATGTGTCGTAATTTCCCGAACGCTGCCCAGCCGAGTTGAATCCGTCTATTGACCTCTCGGTCGAAGTTGGACTTCCTAGTCGGACTATTTGTTCTAGGTAAACGTACTCATCAACAAGTTCGAGCTTAGTGCTCCCAACAACTACCGGCATAGGTGTGACATGGACATTAAACATGATCTTTGTTTTGCCCATGTTCATCTTGAAACCTATCCGTTGGGAGGCACTATTGAGGTCATTGAGCATAGTGCTTAAGTCCTCCAGCGATTCTGCCATAAGGACTAATTCGTCGGCAAATCGAAGGTGAGTGATGCACTCGCCATTGATGTTAATACCGTATCCTTTCAAGTCCAGTAGCTTGAAAACGTCTTCCAATGCAGCGGTGAAGAGTTTCGGGGAAATAACGTCACCCTGTCTATCTTTGGTTCTGTACTCGGATAGCCATTGTAGCTCTACTGTACAAACACTTCAGCACGTCGATATACCGACAGTCAACTTGGCACCGCTTAAGAGACTGTAGCACCGCCCAAATTTCGACGAAATCAAAGGCTTTCTCATAGTCCACATACGCCAGGCAAAGTGGCAGATTGTACTCTTCGGACTTCTGTACAATTTGCCGAAGGGTATGTATGTGGTCTATGGTACTAAAGCCTTTTCGGAAACCGGCTTGTTCGGGAGGCAGGAAGTCGTCGAGTCAGCGTGCGAGACGATTCGTAATGACTCTCGAAAACAGCACGTAGACACGACTCAGAAGGGATATCGGTCTGTAGTTCTTCAAGAGGGCGTTGTCACCTTTCTTGAAGAACAAGACCACCGCACTCCCGCTTCACGTCTCGGGAGTAGTGCCTCCATGGAGGACGGAATTAAGGAGCTTCTGAAGGAGTTCAAGTACCGGTTTTCCACCCGTTTTAAGAAGCTCTGCAGTAATTCCATCCTCGCCTGGGGACTTGCCGTTTTTAAGGTGCTGGAGAGCCATTCTAATCTCCCTCAGACTGACGTCCGGGATATCATCGGAATGGTGTCGGATAAGACTTGCTCTTGAATCGTTACTCACACTTGCGTGTGGCTCCAACGATGATGTGTACAGCTGCCCATTGCTGCGTTACTTACCATAAATTGAAATATAAAATATAACACATTTTTCGCAATGTACCGTAAGATTTTACGATGTTTATAGGAACCACATACAATATTATTTAAGAAACAAAAAAACAAAACATATGTGCTGACCTAGAAGTGTGAATAATATCAAAATTTAATTATTGTTATCACATCTAAATTGAGATTTTGTAAGTTATATTTGAGGTCATCGTCCGTTTTTCTCAATCGATTTGGCACAAACTATAGTGTAAATTTGTGTGTGCGTATGTGGACAGTGCCGGGAATGGAATCTCAGTGGCATGCGTGTACATGTGTAGAAGTGTCTGTGCATATGTGGACAGTACCGGGCATGGAGTCTTAGTGACATGCATGTGTATGTACATGTGTAGATGTATGTGTGCGTAAGTGGACAGTGCCGGGCATGGAGTTTCAATCGCATACGTGTGTGTGTACTAGTGTAAATGTGTGCGTGCGTATGTGGACAGTGCCAGGAATGGAGTCTCAGTGGCATGCATGTGTTGATGTGTGCGTAGATACATAGCATAGAGTATTAATGTACTTGTACATGCTTGTGACACCTTGCATGAAGCCGCGGTAAAGTGCATAACGTTTGTATGTGTACGTGTGTGTATGTGTGGAGAGTACCGGGCATGGAGTCGCGGTGGTGTGCGTAACGTGTGTATATGTATGTGTGTGGACATGATGAAATTAATTAAATGATTTTTTATTCAATATAGATTATTACATAATACTTAAAATATTTACTGCCACACAATAATAGGTTTACAAATGAAAACAAGGTAAGTAGGTATACACATAACATAAGTATAGACTTAAATAAATCAATAAAAAAATGAACACACACAATTAAAAAATTAACTACTATTACTAAATATATGAGTAAAAAGTGAGGTAACGGGTACAGGCTTAGTATTTGCTGGGCATTATGTTCAGCACTGGTTTTCAGCCAGTCCCTGTTGTTGTGGGTGTATTTTGGTCGCAGGCACATCATACTTAATTATATATTAGTGGTAATCCTCATTACAGTTTATGTTTTAAATAAAAAGCATAACAAATGTTAAATAAAAATATTATCATACAATAAACATACAGTCATTCAGCCTAAAAAGACTTGTTTATGAAATAACTCCTTTTTAACCTTTATTTTAAATGTTGCAAATGTAATATTAAAATAACTTATTGAAAGTCATTTTTATTTACCACTGGTACGTAAAACAACCATGTCCTGGGAAGAACCAGCAAGAAACCCAGCGGGACTTTTTTAAAACATATTTCACTTTACATTAATTTATTTTGTACAATTTTTGAATGAGTTTTTATAGAACCAGCATGGTGGCGATCATCTCATTTCCAGGGGTTACTTTCATTTATGTATTCTTTGATATAACTTTTGTACAATTTTTCTTTAATTAATTTTGAACAACAAAACCATTTAACAAAAACATTTAACCGTCCGTTCAAAGGCCAAACTTTCACAATTCGTTTAATAACTGGGTACCCGCATATAATGTGTCAAGTAGAAAAGTTATTAGTAAGCTAGCTACATTGTATGTGAAATAATTATGAAGACTATACACATTTTATAGTCCACATAGAAGGTTCTCGAACATTCAGGTACTTAGGATTCACTGCTCTTTCAGCCCAAACAATAAAGAAAAGCGATTATTCCTAATTTTAGAAGCGTAGTGAACAGACATTAGATATCAGTACTGCCTTAAATTATTGCTAAACATGTAAAATTTACAGTGTAAGTGAAAAAAATATACAATATCAATTAATACCATTATTAATAAATAATCATATTATTTATAAGCAATATATTTATTAATAAATATATTGTTTATAAATGTATAATTATTAATAAATAATCGTATTGAATTATAAATACGATGTATATTCATCAAGTTTTCAATGGTAAGGTGAAATTAATTTTATTTGTTTTATTTTGGAGTAAATTATTTTATATTTTGAATATTTAAAAAAATAGTAAATAATTAAGATAAAAACTCTTTCCAATAGAATCACTCGCTATCAGGGAAGAAAGCATCTCGAGAAAATATTCGAAGCCGAAATATCTGGGTTGTGAAAAGAATGTTTGTGAGAGAGTATTCAAAGACTTGGTGGCACCATATAAAGGATCGGGTTTATACATACTATGGATAATTATTTTACTACTTTTCCACTGGAAAAATCTTTACTATCGTGGAACTTGACGATTGTTGGCACTTTAAAAAAAAAATAAGACATATATTCCACCAGCAATGGCTGCATCGAAAATACGAGAGGAATTATCTACTGTGTTTGCTTTTCATTAAAAAATAACCATGTGCAGTTCTGTGCCAAAATAAGGCGGCAATTATGTTATCATCAATGCATGATGAAGCAAAAATTCGTGATATAGTGCAAAGAAAAAACCCGAAACCATTGAATTTTATAACTGGTCAAAAGCTGGAGTGAACACTATGGATAAAATGCTTGGTTTATTACATATACTACAAAAAGATCTACTCAAAGATAGCTTCTAGCATTATTTTATAATATTCTCAATGTCGCCTGCCTTGCAGCATATATTCTTATTCTTATTTCTGTATTATGGGAATAATAAAATGCTTGTCAAAAAATCGTACGAGCGGCGAAATTTTTATGGCAATTGGGCAGAGAACTGTGTACGACATTAATTGAAAATCGTTCGCAGAATCCACAAATTATAAGGCATTACTCAACGAAAGTGGCGACACAGCTCGATTCAACCGGTAGGAAAAAGATTACTGGTGTATGTTAAACTTGTCTTCAATGTGAATTCAAAAAACATCGCAAAACGAGAAAAATAACTTCAGTATATGAGAACCTTATCTGTGATGAACATTGTATTACAACCACGACGTGTGAAGGGTGTGCCACATAATAAAACTTGCTCTTATTTTCATGTGTATTATTACGAAAAGGTAAACAATGTAAATAAATAAATAATAAAAAATGTTACTAACATAAATATAAATGGAATTATTTATTTTGACTTACTATCTTTGCTATTGTCTATAATAAAAATTGTTTAAATAAAAGAAATTATAAAGGATATTGTTTATTATTTATTTAAAAGTCAAATTACCTCAATACTTTAATAATTAGTCTCTTTAGTGTGTGTGTGTATAAGCCCAACATTCATGCATAATAACTTCAGTGGGTACCCGGGTGCCTGGTTGTTGAACGAAGGAGGTGTCAAGTTTGATAGTTAATAAACTATTGTTAAATAATTGATTACAAAAAAATTTGACGAAAATTGGGTTTCAAACTACTTAAATTTGGGGGATCCAGACGGTTATACAAGTTTTTAAAGAAAAAGTTAAAAAATTCTATCTGCAACGCTGAAATGGATCCCCAGGTACCTACCTGGGGATCCATTTCAGCACCATGTACCTACCTACCTACAGTGACCTACCTGGTCATTTACTGGACGGTTAAACTTGTTTAATGATAAATTTTGTAAATTTTCTGAGATTTTATTAGTAACTGGTATTACAAGCTTATGTGGTGTTTAAAGTATGAACATCTTTATTCTTATGTATGTATGTGTGTGTGTGTGTGTGTGTGTGTGTGTGTGTGTGTGTGTGTGTGTGTGTGTGTGTGGACAGTACCGGGCATGGAATCGCTGTGGTGTGCGTAACGTGTGTACGTGTGTATGTGTGGACAGTACCGGGCATGGAGTCGCGGTGGTGTGGTTGCGGGGCGCGCGGCGCGTGCTCGGAGAGGCGCGCTAGGCTCGCAGCGGCACCGCCACGAGACCGCTTTACTCGCTGCAGTGCTGTTAATTCAACATACATTATAATACAGTGGAATCTCGATAACAAGATTTTTTATAGGATAGGGGGTGAGAGAAGAGCACACTGTCCATCTGATGATAAATGGTTGCTATGGTCGACAGACATCTAAATTTATCCTTGATTACGAATTAGATACAGATTCATTAAAAAGGGTCTCCTATTCTCTACACTCACGAAACAATAAAAGGTGCTATGGTACTCTGTGAGAGCGTTGCCTTTCCCCGGTCGAACCAACCCATTCATGCTATAAGTGGAATTCAAAAGATAGATATAAATTTCAAGTTAATGAGTTTTCGACTGAACTGTTTTCGAGATTATTTTCCAGAACGTAAACAAACAAGTTACACAGATGTGTTACTCCGAAAGTTCAATCATTAAATATAATATTCATTAAACTTTACATAGTATACGCAATACTACAGAAGCAACAATCATTTTTTTGTATTTTATTGTAAGCTCGGGGAATTCCAAGTGAGATACATTATGTTTTACTAATTTCAACTTTGGAGTCTGCTTTTTTAATTTCAAGTTATTGAGTACAAATATGTCTTATCAATACCTTGCAGGGAAATAACAAATCTTAATAATTCGAAATACCTTGTATTTAAGGGTTCAGCAAAAGGTGGCAATTTCTTTTGGTGTTATTGAGGATAACAACTTAACAAGGTTTCAGTTATCGAAATTCTATTGTATACACTATATAACATAACATAGTCGTATAATACAGGAACGTAGCATAGAGTAAATTAGCAAGTTTAACATACACAATATTTATTACATATAACTACTATTAGACTTATGAGGGGAGGTCAAAAAGTTCGCGGAAGGGCAGGATTGGCGAGGGTGAGTTTTCTCCATCCAGGTAGTCGATAGTAGTGACTCATTGTTAATATGTATAATATACCAAGTTTTAGCTTAATCGGCTTATTAGCTTTTGAGTTATCAACGAGTAAACAAGTTAATAGGGAAGAAACTAGCCACTATGGCTAATTTAAATATCGCGAATATTGAATATGGCCAAAATGAATATCGCGCCGTCATTAAGTTTCTCACCAAACAAGTAATGACACCTCAAAGCATTTTTCAATAGATGTCAGTTGTTTATGGGGATTCCGCTCCTGGGAAAACCATGTTTTATATATAAATCATATTATCACATAAATGGCACGCTTTTTTCAAACAAGGGAGGGACTCCATTGAAGACGACCCCCGATCTGGACGGCTGATTGAGTTTACAATGCCAGAAATAATCGAAAAAGTTGAAAAACTTCAACTGGAAGATCGCTCGGCTTACGAAAAACCACCATTTAAAACATCCTACCTCTACACCTTGGCATGACTAAGTCTGTGCACGATGGGTTCCGAGAACGCTTTCTGCGCATCAAAAACATGAGCACGTCGAAAGTTGTCGCGAGTTTTTGGACTGCTGTGAAGAGCAAAAGTAGGGATTATGGCTTGAATTGTAACTGGCGATGAAACTTGGGTTCACCATTATGAACTGAGTTATGAGGCGATGCGGTGGCATGAAAAAGGCACATCCCCTTCTAAAAAGTATAAGGTGTTTCAATCGGCTGGAAAGACTACGGCGGCGATGTTTTGGGATACAGAAGGTATCCTTTTTATATTTTAAATTTGATTATAAGGAATGTGGTGTTTCCATAACGGGAGAATACTACGCTTCTTTAGTAGATCAATTAAAAGAAGTTATTAAAGAAAAAAGGCGAGGAAATCTTACAAAAGGCGTGCTCCTTTAACACAATAATGCGCACACAAGCCATGTTGCGACGGCTGCCAAGCACCGGCGTGGTTTTGAACAACTGCACCAACCACCCTAATGAAAACTTGGCGACGATGAAGAAGTAAAGTCGCAATTTCGGTCCATTTTGACGCCCATAACAAACAGTTTGTTTTGGGCGGTATTAATAAGTTATTTGACAGATCTAATGAATGTATTAGGGTTAAGGGAGAATACATTGAACAGGAAAAATAGATGTTTCATTTCATTATTCTTCCCCGTCATTCCGCAAACTTTTTGACCTCCCCTTGTAATGGTAACTTCGATTAAGTGTTGGTACTAAATTAGAGGTGAGTGGTGCTGGTGTTGGTGTTCACTGACCGGGTTCGGGAGGACGGGTGCGCGCGTGGTGCGGCGCGGGGCGCGCGTAGCGCCAGCGCAGGCGACGGCCGCCCAGCGCCAGCTCGTCGCCCTCGCGCAGCGCCGCCACGCTCACTGCCACGCCGTTCACCAGCGTCTCACCGGCGCCCACGTTACGGACCACCGTCTGGTACACAGTGGAAACACTCCACAACCGCTCACAGACAACACATAGCCGTACACACCCATCCCTGCTTGCCAACCCTCTAACTCCTCAGACAGTTAGAGGTCACAATGCTGACTTTACATGTCATCCAAATATTTATTCCTCAGATATGCAAGTTTCCCATGAAGGCATCTTAGCTGTAACCTGTCTCTTTTGTTTCCAAAGGATCATGGTGCAGTTAGTTCACAGCACTGCTCCAGTGCATATTAGCAGATTATTTAATCTAACACATAAGTTTCATCTCAGTATTTTCCTTTACCGCTGAGTATATGAAAATTCAGCACTTAAATTGTAATTAACAAATATATATATATATATATATATATAATTCTGTAGCTTCTAAAAATTCAGACCGGTTACAGAAAAGTGTCAATATGCAAGGCATCTGGTACTCCATTTGTAAATCCACCTGTGAAACCTGACAATTTAGACTAATCCTTACTATAATGGGTGAATGTAAGCTAAACAATATTTGGCACAGTAATTTTGATTGTAACAAGCTGGCTAAAAACATGTCATATCTTCAGCTAAAAACATGTCATGTCTTCGTACACCAAATCACTCAGAATGTATTGTAAATACTCATAAGCAGTTAAAATGTTACAAACATTGATATATTTTTTTGTATATTTTCCCTATAAATTTGCACAATTTCTTATCAAGACACTCATGCATAACTAAATAATGTATAATATTATGTTACTTGTAATTAGTTATGTTCTAACAATATGCATACTTTATATTTTTCTTATACAGACACATTAAGGTAACAGCATTAATAATAACTAATAGATGTACTTCATGGGTATATAATATAATTAGCTAACAAGTTATAATCTATTTTATAATAATTGTATATCTGTTACCCCAGACACAAATAAATTTTACTGATTGTTTAATTTAACTGATAAAACATATTGTCATTTAACTACAATATTTAAAGAACTAATAGTCAACTGAAGTATTAAAATTTGCTGAATGGAGTGCTCAGATTAAAGAATGAAGTCATAATTGTATACCTGATTAGTATGCACAGCAACTGTAGCATGATGTGGATGCACAGTTGGAAGCAAAATGCGAATATCGCACGAGGGATCACTGCCCAGAGTAGCCAGACCCGAGGATAGAGTGAATTGTTTCACCTCGCGTCCCGCACGGTCCAGTACCACCAAATGGCCTCCAGACATGACTATAAAACAATTGTTTAAAATTAACATAACAAGTCTAATACTACACCTGACCAAACATGCTATAAGCATGACTCTTACTCTGAAAATATTTCTTAATTTAAAAGAAAAATAGCTGCATCATTTAACTGATGATTTTCTGCCAATGTCAAGGTTGAGAAATACAAGAGGATATTACAAAAAAAGGAGAGAACATAGAAGTATATTTTGACTATTAGTTTTAGAGACGATTTTGTGGATAAACCAAGAAATTGAGACACCTAAAAATGAAATAAATGCCACAAGATTACTAGATTATTTTAATAAAAAAAATTATACTGAAATACAATAGATATAATACAGGAATTACACCTATATAGTGAGTAATAGTAATTATAATTTTATGTTATTAATGTTCCTAGTTTTATATTATTTATTCTTAGAAATATTGCAAGCACATTAGCCAAAGGGGTATTTATTAAAGTTAGTAAAACAGTAACATTTACTAAGCATTGAATATTTGAAGGTATTATATCATATAAGTTACTATCAAATGACTACATTCAAATTTTTGTGTGATTCAATGTTAAATAAATTTTAATATTTAAATTGCATTACGTTAAAATTTTTATTAGGAAAATAGGCAAAGACAGAACTGTCATTGCTGAGGATGGCAATGCAATTGCAATGTATAGTTTAAGGGTAATGTTTTTTTGTTAAATTAAAATGTCACTTTTTACACAGGAATATTGACCCAAATTTACTTCTGCAAGATCTTCAGCGCTGCGGGAAGTGCAGCCCCTTCACCCTTGCATAGCAAATCGCAAGCACACATACTCACCTCTGCAGCTTTGGCTTATTGGTTGCCTCAACTGCTACGGGTCGCAAGGATGCCTACAATTTTCTGCAGCTGGCAGGGGCTGCTCTCCCTTCTATGGCTTTACAAAAACACTCTAGGGGTAGGGCAGACAAGACTATGTGGAGACGGAGCATGCTAATTCGGTTTTAGGCTAAGCTTTCCATTGACGTCCGTAAAGTTGGGGGTTGATATTTTTTTTACAGAAAAGTTACATTAATATAAGCACACACGTAAAATTTCAACATGCGGAAAAGCGTACTGTTTGAGAAAAAAATTATTGAAAATTCAATATTTACGTCAATCCTTACCTCAGATTACATCGAATTGTCGCCATTGAACATTGGTCTTCGTACAGTTACGTTGTCATATGTTCGGTAGTATTTTACTCTACATTTTACGTAAATAATTATATTTTGTACTCATTTAAATAGTTTTCATGCATACACATATATTTAAAAGTTTATATTTAAATTACAGAATTATTATCATTATGAACTATTAAAATTAAAATGTGTAGTGTTTACTGTTTTTTGCTGGCTTGTGGGACATAACGTAAAACTGACGATTTCTAAGAATTAATTAAAGCAATATGTGTATAAAATTGTATAAAACATGTGTATAAAACAGTACCCACCTATTAGGACAGATAACAAATAAAATAGGTTAGGTTCAACTTATGTCAAGGAACCAAATTAATAGACCCCAACTCCACGTGGTATGAGTCTGTCCTACCCCTAGTGTTTTTATAGAGCCGGAGGCGCGTAGGGAGAGCAGCATCCGCCTGCTGTAATAAATCGTAGGCATTGGACGAGCCGGAGCGGCTGAGGCTGGTCACCAAAGGCGACCAACAAGCCAAAACTGCAGAGGCGAGGCAGGATGCTTGCGATTTGTTATGCAAAGGCGTAGAGGCTGCTCCACCCGCAGTGCCGCAGACGTTGCAGTCTCAAAATAGATACAGAAATCCCTCTGAATAAGTCCCTCCATTTATTTTTGGTGAAGGGGCTTCCTCTTCCTTAGGGTTACCCCCTTCCGCCCCAAGAGGTCCCCATGGTTTTTTACTGAATTAAAATTGAAAAAAACTCAAAAAGGGGGGGGGGCTCCGCAACTTTTCCTTTTAAGGGGGAGTTGTACACCTCCCCCCACCTCCAATTCGACGGACGTCAATGGAAAGTCGTACCCAGTTTTAAAACATATTCGACCAATCTATAAAATCAGGTTGCCCTAAGCTCTGCTATGATGGTGGTAAATGAAACAATATAATGTGTATTATTATAATTTTGTTTTCTGGAAAACCTTGTGACTGCTCGTCACAGTGACTCAATTTGTTGTATATGAGTCACATCTTCAGCCACAAATGTATTGTCGGGGTCTGAGTGATAAACATTTTAAATGAGTGTATCCATGATAAAAAGAAAAATTGACATAATATTTGCGTTTCGCTATACGCAATTTTTAGTGAAATTTTTATCGTAATTAATACAATAGGCATTCCCGAAATCAAAAAAACAATGTTTATAGGTTCAAGCCTAAAGCGGGCTACATACGACACGATATCGGTGGCGATCTAGGGTGGAGTAGTGGGGATGCCTCCTAGATTGCCTCTAAATCGTGTCGTATGTAGAGCCATCCTAAGTCGTAGCCGATATCGCCTCCTTAATCGGCTGGCAGGAGCAAAAATGCTTCCTAGATCAGCCGATGCTTCCTAGATCGGGGCACCGCCCCCTCCTTACTGCGTGTGTGTAGGCGCATCGGCTCGATTTCTTTTGGCAGTCGCTGCCGGCAACCCTCGCAGAAGGAAGTTAACAAAACAGTGATACTGAATGACCTTTTTTATGTAACAAAATTTTTACATTTTAATCATATAAACGGAGCAGAAGCCTATGGCACTGATATTTTACAAAAAACCAAAAAAAAAAGTGAATAAAATAAATAAATTAAATGAAATTTTATCGAAATTCAAATCATATCCACCCTAGCCTGTGACCCTGCGTAGTGACATGGTCAAGAATGCCTACTAAACTAATTTTTTATTACCGTTCATAAAGTAGAGTGTATGATGTAAGTAAGGAGAAGATAAAGCCTCTCCTCAACAACTAACTCCTATTCCAACACTATCAACACAAGACCGCACTCATATCTCTTACAACTCCACAAGACCACAATTCGATCTCTTACGTGCCTTCATCCTCTTATAAACAACTAACTTCTACTCCTTCACCATCTCCACATCAACAAACAAGTTATATAAAAGGGAGTATGTCCGAAATTAAAGGTTTCTTTATGTTTAAAAAAAAGATATAAGCTATTTTATTTTCTGATATTTTTACTCCATAAATAAAGATTACATTAAAAAAAGTATACATATTATTAAACAAAAGTATTTTATTTCCTTGTTTGTTGTGTGTAATACATAACCAGATTTTGACCAAAGCAGAAATGAACAAAGAGAAGAAATAACTAAATAGCTTAGGCACATAGGAGAAATTGATGTTTTTATATAAGTGGAGAAATCATTTCTAGAAGGTTATAAAAACTGTCTTCATCCATCCGGAGAAAATTAATCATGTCTTTGGAATACAGATCATTTAGTACGTTTATGTGGCTTAATTTTTGTCTCTTTTGGAGCCATTTTTTCACCCAGCAACTCCTCTTTTTCTATTTTCGAATAAATTTACCGAGAGGGCTAATGCCAAACCAATACATTGGTGTTTTAAGAGAGTTGAAGCTATTTTGAAGAACTCTACCGCATATGTGTTCCGCTCCAAGTCCGAACGCGTACTGCTAGGCAGGCCCGTGTGTAGGGTCTGCCCCGATAAAAGCCCCGATTTCTTTCCACCCTAGATCGCCACCGATATCGTCTCGTGTGTAGCCCGTTTTACCCTAACAAGCCTCTTATGTTTGTTACTAAAAACAATACAGGTAGTACCGGACATCTATAGCCAACCCGATAACTTCCCGCCACAATATTTTTGTGCACTAAAATTTTTTAAATCGTCCATTAATATTTAGAAGTTTATATTAATTTGTATTTCACATCATATATCTTTTGATCTAACTATAACAAAACATTTGTAACGCAAAAGGCTAATGATGCGAAAGGCCAAAACAAAATCTCGCCGGCGCGCGTCATAATAACACTTACCGTTGTCACAATTTCAGCCACAAATTATTTAAACTACGATACATATTCAATCAAAATTCTTCTAAAATTCTTTATCCTTGGCGTTATTTTAACAATTCTTCGGATTCAATTACTAAAAACTTATACCCAGGCAATACTTTCGCCATTAATAATACGCTTTGAGGATTGAAAAATGTCGAATAAATTTAATGGCGTCTTTTTTCAGTTCAGCGTGACCACTTTTCAATGAGCGAATCTACCAAAGACACTGCTAAAATCTACTGAAATCTACTAGGACGCATTTTAAAATCTACTAATTTTTGCCTTTAACAAGTCTTGTGCTGTTTTACCGTCCATATCTATTACACTTAATAGTTTAGTTTTCACGCATAAATCATTTTCGGAATAGTATTTTGTAGCAATTGCTAAAAGGTTTGTAGTGCTGACATCGTCAATTATAATTAAAAATTTGGACGATCCGGACTTTAAATCTTCGTACATTCTTGCTTCAAATTGCTCTCCTAACGCATTGTAAGCGATACCAGCAGACTTGGTTCTTTTACAAGAATTTTTTCAGCTATTTCAGAATCAGTGAGTATTACTAACTTCACATTAATCTAACTTCACAATAACCTTTCGTTTGACACTAGAGGTCGCGAATTACTCTCATAACAAACATAAGAATAAAGATAAAATGGATGATCTGCAGAGACTTATAAGAGAAATTAAAACAGATTTTAGTATAAAATTAATTTCAATAGAATCACAGTTTTCTCAATTAGAAGAAAGAATGACCTCAAAAATTAATTCAAATATAAATGAAAAATTCCAGGAACTGAGCAACAAATACGATAATTTACAAACACAGGTTTTAGATCAAGAAAAAAGAATATTCGCACTCGAAAAAGCAAACAAACAAAGAAATTTAGTATTTTTTGGAGTTGAAGAGGGAGAATTAACATACTTCGAGTTACAGGAAAAAATTATGCATATAATAAAAAATCAAATGAATATTGATATACAAGACTTCGAACTTGAATCAG